CCATTAACCTCTTGTAGTTTATTTTTATAATAATCATTTTTTGTTCGTTTTATTAAGTTATTGAGTTTATTTCTATAGTCCTTATATTTTCTTTCATTTTCTTGAGTATTTTTAAGCAGAAATGTTTTTTTTAGGCTATCCCTCGTTTTAATCGACTATTGTACCTACTATTGAATTTGGTTGGCCCTTCATTAAAGAAAACTCATTTTGCAAAAGAACCCATCGCTCCTGCACTTAAGTTATCAGTAACGTTAAGATAAATGGTTTAAAGACACGCTCCTATTAAACAAAACTTGAGAAAATTGTTAGTCCTATTTTCTGATATGATAGGGTCTGGTCGTATGTCATCACTTAGGTTCATGTAATACAACAATAAAATTTCTAGATATTGCCCGCTTCAACATGAACAGGGTATTTTAACACGTTTGAGCTAAATTTGCGGAACCGCAAAAATATTATCGCAATCGTTCTAATACGAACTCGCCTTAACGGTAATAAAGACTCGAAAAATATTTGGGAAAAATTTAAATTTTATGCATATTCTCTATTCCTGAAAGAGTACTGTTTTACATTTCAAAAGTACTGACGACGTATGTGAAATTTGTGAAAAGTAATGCTTTTAGTACTGAAGTACTGAATATTCCAACGCTTGATCAGTTAGAACCGTCGATATTATTGCACACTATCGATTATATGTAATTAACAATTTGAACTGTCGATTTTTGATAACCGACAGTTTGAATTGTCGATTTAATATAATTCACAGTATGAACTTTCCATTATATGTATTCGACAATTTGAAGTGAATATTTGATTGTTAAAGTTAAAAAATAAGTTTAGGTGAAATTCGTTTTTTCCAATTTGTGGTTTCCTATTTCCAACTGAGACGGAAACTTTTTCTGGAAAATATCTATCGTTCAAGTGTTTTCTTTATTTTATCGAATATACATTTATTTGAATATCAAAACAGTTGGCTGTATTTTTTTTTCAATTTTTCTCTCTAACAGTTGGTCATAACTGAATTGCACTACTCACATAAGAGACTAAAAAGAGACCTAAAAAAGTTCCAATTTCGAAGCAGTAATCACTTGAAAATTTATTTTCATATTTCATATACTGTGGTAGCAGGTTCTCTCGATACTTCATTTAATCATATATAACATCAGTTATCCTCATAACATGGGGAAAGGTCGCCACGGTTTACTTGACAAAGTTCGGAACACAGCAACTATATTTGGCACCTAACTTCACATTGGTCAATTTTCATCTTCTTCTAACTGGAATTTTCTATACCTACCTTTCTTTAAATCCGAACTTCAGATTCCAGATAAACCTCTAAAAATGGATGAAGCTAAAGAGGTAAACTTTTCACGTGTATTTGAAATTTTTCGAATTTGTGAATTAAGAAAAGTAAGTTCGAAGTTATTTACAATATTCTGGTTTCTAGGTGACAATCTCCCTGAAGGATGTCCACTTTAGACTGCAAACTGCTAGTTTGAAGGAAAGGAAACAACTCATTCAAACCTTAATTAAATATGTAAAATCTCCCAAAAGTATGTGCATCTGAAAAATGAAAGGCTTGTTTCAATAATTCCTTTGCAGGTATCGATGGTAATAATATCAAAGGGATTTGCAAACTTCTACCATTAACACTTCCAAGGTATAAAGATGGTCTTTCCCAGCAGCTTGTAGGAAACCTGATAATTTCTCTTCTTCAAAAACATCCAGTGATAGCGATAAAAAATATAACATCTTTCATTGTAGATGCTGCCGATTATTACAAGAATATTGTTGTCACGTAAGTGGAACTGTGTATTTATTGATAGGCTAGGAAAACTTAACTTAGAATTGAATTGCTAGATATTCAAATCAATGTTTTATTGGGCAAAGAAAGTACTTATGGTAAATTTTCGTTATGTGGACACCCGGCGATTTTGAAAAAATTTTTGACTGTATTTACGAATTTTGATGCGTCGATTACGAATCCGAAAGAAAAAAGCGGCGCTCTCCCTTATTTAAAAAGTTACGGCCCTTCAAAGTTCAGGAAAGGGCAACTTTTCAACCTTCTTTTTCACTAAATAAACTATATAAAAACACAAGCATTTATTCACTAGGTCACCTTTACACCTTATTCCTCCTTCTTTAACACTTTTCACTTCAATAATCAATATTTTTTTTTTAAAAAACTTAATTTAAAAACGAATGCTTCTCCTGGTGACATTATTCTATTTTTAGGTTATTACTAGTGACATTTCAGAAAAAAGCGGTTGGTATTTGCCGTCTCCTACTATTTCAAATTTGTAATACACCACCAAAAACCAATTTACGATCTAAAGAATGAAGGTAAAAAAACATTTGAATTACTTCAGGAATATGGACTGCATCAGTCGTACCAACCATATCATTAACCTTTAAAACGTAAAATACAGTGATATGTAACCAAAAAGCAGCTCCGTACATTTTTTAACATTTTTATAAGAAAAATGTTGATTATTGAAGTGAAAAGTGTTAAAGAAGGACGAATAAGGTGTAAAGGTGACCTAGTGAATAAATGTATGTGTTTTCAAATAGTTTATTTAGTGAAAAAGAAGGCTGAAAAGTTGCCCTTTTCTGAACTTTGAAGGGCCGTAACTTTTTTAATAAGGGAGAGCGCCGCTTTCGGATTCGTAATCTACGCATCAAAATACGTAAGTACACTCAAAAATTTTTTCAAAATCACCGGGTGTCCACATAACGAAAATTTACCGTACTTATTTATTTCACTTATTAACTTAAACGTCTTGTGGGCGAACAACATTCTTTGTCATTCACAATCAACATTGTACAAATTCAGTGAGTAAAAAGTTTATTGGTTCCATCTGTACAAGGAATACCATTTAAAATAAGTATCCCAATTCAATGATGATTTTGAACTGTTTTGTATCTGTTAGTAGAATATAACTGATCTGATCGAAACTGAACTTTGCTGCTGAAAGTTTTGCTATATTCTGCCATCTTAAAGTAAAAATGCTAATTTGCCAATTCATACAATTTTGTATCTCCAATAATAACATAGTTGCCACTGGATCAGCTTGTATAACATATGAAAATATATTTTATCAAGATAACCTGTAGCCTTCTCTAGGACGCCAATTTTGAGTAATCTTGTCCTGTTATCTCTGATGACAGTCATCATATATAACTCAGGATGTATAAACCTCTGAAGAAGCTAGCCACTCACGCTAGCAAAATGTGAAGAAAAAAATCCAAAGTTGACGGCCTTCAAGCCCGAAAAATAGTGACACTAATAATAATGATAATAATAAGCTTTACTGTCCAAAAAACATCAGGTCTTATTGAAAAGGCATATATAAGAGCTTTTCAAATTTTTGCTTATTCAGTTGTCAGATGAATGGTCAAACCATCAACGCTGACATAAAAACTTGGCAAGCTAACTTGGGTGTCACACCAATAGGCAGTTCCACTTATGTCTCACTTGCGTTTACACAGTAATTTTTATCAAGTTCTATTATTGGTTTTCAATCAGTGGTCACCCACTTCAGTCATGACCCGTTTGTCCTTTTGGAAAATATCAGTTCAAAGGGTAAGGGCGCCAGGCTTTAACCTCCCGATATAGAAGGCCCCGACACTCTGTGAATGAGGCCCCTATATCTTCCATTGAAACATGAACAATGTTTTCATCCAATTCACCCCAGCCAGGCATGGGTACACCGTGAAGGGCGGTACTGATGTCTGAGGACACTCATGCCGCCATACCATTAACACCCACATCAGTCATGACCCGTTTGTCCTTCTGGCAAACATCAGTCCAAAGGGTAAGGGAGCCAGGCTCCAACCTGTCTAAATTCAAGATGACTTCCACCAATCAGTGGCCCATCGGTCCAAAGGGTAAGGGAGCCAGGCTCCAACCTGTCTGAATTTAAGATGACTTCCACCAATCGGTGGCCCCCACATCAGTTATGACCCGTTTGTCCTTCTGTCAAACATCAGTCCAACGGGTAAGGGAGCCAGGCTCCAACCTGTCTAAATTCAAGATGACCTTCCACCAATCGGTGGCCTGCTCAGTACTGACGATGCCCAACAGACTGACATAGCAGTCTACCGGTGGCTTTCAAATTGAAATTAAATTAGAAGTGATCAGAATAATAATGATAATAATATCGTTTATTATGCATAAAAAATACATTTAAACATAAAAGGAAAAGGGTTAGCCAAAGACTATCTTCCACCCCTCCCAAAAATTATACAGTGAGTGTAAGAAAATATTTGAGTGTAAGAAAATAATTATAAAAATACTCATTTACTATCATAACAATGATAGAGAAGAGAAAAAAATAATAGATCATATAGTTGCTAATAACTCTTAATATTTTTAACACTGTTTTGGTCAATTTAACAATTTCATTGAATTTTAACTTTTTTAAATTAGCACTGAGCAGTAAGCATCTGTGATTTTCTTTCTTTCTTGAATTAATGATTATTATAATTTAAAAGGGGTATATAAGAAAAACATCCTTGAAATTTGGAAGTACGGTGCCCAGATATGTTGAATGAGTCAATTCTCAAATTGACCATATGCATGTCAGAATGCCTGCTTAATGCCAATATTTGATAAAAAAACCATTTTTTATCAAATATTGGACTCTGTACCTCACCTTCAGCTCCTTCATTTTTAACAAAAATGGTGTGACATGTTTACCATATGGGATACAGCATACGAATCGCATGCAAGCATTTTGTATACGTTGTAACTTCTTGTTATATTGCGGCAAAAAATTGTAATACACTGAACAACAATACTCGATATGGGGGAAAATAAAAGAGTGTTAACTAACCTGAGTTTCATTTCTTATGATAACTGATACTTGAATTTATATAGTGATTTGAGTTTGAAGAATGATACTTTGAAAATGTTTGTCACATGTTCATGGAAAGACAGAGAGCTATCTATGATTACGCCAAGATTTTCAGCACAGTCTACCCAGTCAATGTCTGCGTTATCGAGAGTGAGCCTAAAGTTACACTGAGTTTCTACTATTTGTCTTTGAGTTCCTATGCATAAGGATAAAGTTTTATTTGGATAGATTTTCAGTTCATGATTCTCCAAGTATAGGAATGTTTTGTGCAAATCTACTATTGTGAAAAATTAAATATCTCTGAACTACTATAAAATATATAAATAATCGAAATTTTTCGTAAATACAAATGATACTTGATAGGTATATATTTTTAAAAATAATGAATTCAGAAGAATTATTTCAATGAAATTTTTGGATATACTTTCTATGCTATACGAGATCGTAGTCATTTGGCATGTCTATCTACCCTTAGTTTATGTTGCTCTACTATTCAAAGGAATATTAATTCGATTATTGAAACACTTCAATGCCAATCAACTGATTATTCTAATAATGCACGTGTACCCATCACTACCCAAAATTTTATTACATGCGATACCCAAATTATAGATAGATAATTTTATTTATCTCTTCGATTATATGTTACAACATGAGATGAATGATAATACTCGCTACATAGGCAATTACTGAGCATAGATGTACAGCACATAAAAATATAATTTAATTACAGTTTTATTTGTAGTCATGATTCATGAATATTTAAAAAATATATATTAATGTTGATATAATATCAAAATGATATCAGTTGTAAAACTAATTTGTCATAATTTTCGAATTTGGTCTTTCTTTGGGCATCATTACCGAGTGTGTGCTTTCAAATGTCCAACCAAGAATCTTGATTCAAATATTCTTTATTTATAGTTAATAATATAATTTCTTGTTAATAATATAATTTCTAGTTTATTTATGCATGAATTCATTACAGAGGTAACACTTATACATGTGTCTTTTTCAGAAGTAACATAAGTAAGACTGCATTGTTCGCATTGAATTGGTCCACGTTGTTATTTTCACATGGTTGGAAAAGTGATCCTTTAACTTTGCTACCATATATGACATGGATCATTGAATCACAAGCTGTTATATTAACCACAGTTCTCAAAGCTGGTAATACAAAAAGGTCAATGAAAGCCTTTAACATGGTAAGTTATTTGTAGTTATAAAAACGGGTAGCATTCAGTTGTCGGACCTCATGAATTTGCAAAAATATTTGTACCGTATATACGTTAAAATTGAAGATTGATTAGGTAAACATTTATTTTTTGCAGAGATCCACTTGTGATGAGTAAGATTCATAGAATGGTAACTTTTTCTCACAAACATGCTATGGACATTAATGTACTTGCTCGATCCATTTACTAACTACATACTGTTGTATACGAAATACACAACAAATATATTTATACATTATAAAAATACATTTGTAGTGTGTGACTTGAAAAAAGCATGATTTTTTTTATGTGTAAAGCTAGCCATGTTCATCCACAGCAAAACTACCGATAATATCCAATAAGTTCTATATGAAACAAAGTTGTATTATAATATTCACACCTATTTTTGGCCTGTGAATATCCAAAAAAATGTGAGCATTTCATTGAAAACGTTGGTACTATTCTTGATCACTGCAATACTCAAACGTATGCCAATATCTATGTAGTTGGACCGGCCCAGTCGAATTTGAAAAACATGATGAATATTTCATTATTGTTGACATGAAGTTTCATGTTAACCTCGCACTTTTACAAGTTTTTTTAACTAATTTGATTTGCTTATTATTGTCGAGTTATAAAATTCCAGAATTTGAATCAATTTTTTCATCAATACTTGAAATCTAGAATGAAAGTCATTTTTTGTGTAGGAAAATCAGTTTTTATCAACCTTTTTGGTTATTTTTACACTTCACAATCTGAAAAATCATAAATTGGAAGTAATATTTATCAGAAACTGGTCCAGAAAATTAACCTCTCCTGAAAATATACCCCTTTCAATTTAAACACGATTCTTTTGGCTGGGATTTAATCAAATAAGCGAATGAATGTCATTACTTACTGTCTTCGATGACATGAGTAGATTGAGCTTATTCCATGACATAAAGTCATAATTTTACGAATGAATTGGGTGTTTTTTCTTATAATGTTATCCATATTTGGTTGACTAAAGAGCTGATAAGGCAAGTGTCTTACGGCGAAACACCGGATGTCTACCAGTGAGAATGACAGTGTTCCATCTAAGAGAAATTTTACCTCTTTCATTTAGTATATTGTGTAGGAATCTCGTGAATAATGTCTGATCCAATTCCATAATGAATGTTTGGAATATAAATTGAGCGGTGAAACATTTTTTTTGTTTAATTCAGTGTTTATATAAAAGTTATTTGTTTTGAAAGTATTTTTCTTTCGTGTAATTCAATGTTTATATGAAAGTAGCTGTTTCAAGAGGGCTTTTTCTTCCAGTTTATGTCTGAAAGTAACTTCTTTGCATGAACTACACATTTTTGTATAGAGTTACTTTTTTTCAATTGATTGCCTCCTTCCTTTCATTGGAAGATTCCCACGTTTTTTTTGTATTACCTGAGAAATAGAAAGCTAAAAACTTTCTTTCCCAAAAATCAATTTCTAAAAATATATCCCTTTCAATTTAAACAAGAGCTAAGAAATTATACAATACTTATCTTCATGTTTCGCAGGCTAAAATCTACCTCCGTTTTCAGAATTGGACTAAATTTAAGTTGACACATAGTTTTTCCTTAGCGGATTTTTTTATTTCTCAACTTCCTTTTTTAATCACATAGTAACCTATCAGAGTAAACTAAAAAGTTTGCCCTTTATACACGTTTATAAAGTTCTCCATTACAATTTTAATATTTTTCAGATTGTGGAAGATAATTATACCCAAAGATAGTCAATAAAAACTAAAACTCAGTTCAAGAACTTCTTAACCAACTGTATTGAAAGTGAATTATAATTTGTAAATTGCCAGTTTCCCTTTTCAAACATTCTATAAGCAATTTCATTCCAAGCAAAATGACGATTTTACAAAATTTAACCTTCTTAATTATCACACCCATCATACTCAGATTAGACAGAGATAACATGGAACTATACAGCAAATCAACAAACTCTGACAGACTTCAACAATGAAATGAACATCAATCTAAGCCACTTACGTTTATTTGGCGATGTTTGAAGCGCTTTTATAGTTGAGAGAGGAAGAGAGAAATATATTTTACTGTCATAAAAAACATTCTTACACACAAAGCAGAATCAATTATAAAAACTAATTAATAACAACAAATAAATAACAACAAATAAGGTTTGTGAAGATCAAATCGTGAGGTGTAGTTTTTGAAATTACTATGGATGTTCATCAAGTAAAGGCCGAATCAATCAGAAAAAAAAGGTAATTAATAATAGTCCTTGATGGAACAAACATAAAATGTATAATAAAAGTATAGCACAAGTATAAGGACAATACACAGTTCAGAGAAGTAAATGAAAGTAGTTAGAAAATATACACAATTTATTTTTGAACAATAGTTGGAAAATTTAAAAGTGAAACTGAATAGAACACCTCCAGACTACGAGGTTTTTCATGAAATAAAAATTGTACAGCCTTTTTTTAAAATGATTACAATTGTTTATACCTCTGACATCAGAGTAAAAATAAATGAGTGGATCCTTAAGAATTATCCACGTCTGCACTTGCGCTCTGAAACTACATTAAACTCAAAATTTTGAGCGGATCGGTAGGCGTGTGCCAGTATATGCGAGAGAGATGATCAAAGACAACTTTTTCGAATGGCACATCTCCCAATTTCGTAACGATACTAGGTTAAGTTAGGTCCAAAGTGAGTGGATCTCTTCGACCCTCCACCGCCACCCGTAAAGGTTTATTGTGGCTGACAGCTATTCACACTCGATCAAATAAACCTAGCTTCTTAACGAAGCCGAATAGTTTGAATGGTGAGTGGTCTTTCAGGTCAGATGGTAAAAGTACGGCTCAGCCGTACTCTTACCATCTGACCAACCAACAGTCTATTGCAACCAACCAACAGTCTATTGCAACCAACCAACAGTCTATTGCAACCAACCAACAGTCTATTGCACTCTGTGTGAAATTGATTTGTGCAATTGGTAATGTGCACAAGTACTGATGGCACCACTGATGGCCAGACAAGCCTGTCTCTGTGAGCCAGAGAGCTTCGCCTGGGCCGTTTTCTGTAAAGCCTTCGACCACCAGGCAATTGCACCATAAGTGATCATTGGTCTGACAATCATCACATAAATCCGATGGATTTGTTTGGGACCTAAACCCCAAGTTTTACCACAAATCCTTCGACATGTCCATAGGGACAGTCTGGCTTTATGTAAACTTTTCCCAAGTGAGCGTTCCAGGTGAGTTTTTTATCAAGTACAATGCCAAGATATTTCACCTCCGTTCCAAATGGTATAACCCCACTATTGAGAGAAAGTGGCGTCAAATCGTTCAATTTTCTCCTCCTGGTGAAGGGGATTATCACAGTTTTGCTGGGGTTAACAGACATCTGCTTCCTCAGGCACCAACTATGAACAACGTCCGTTGTGCTTTGGAAGATATTACAAGTTACCCTTACCGACGTGGACCTTGCCAAAATGACAAGGTCATCTGCATAAGCTTGCAGATCTACTTTTATTCTGTCGAGGGCATCAAGCAGACTATCCATTAGGAGCAACCACAGAAGAGGAGATAGCACCCTACCTTGAGATCAGCCTTTGGTGACCCTGAACCTAATGGCCTCGCCTACTACTCCAGCTCTGGAGTAGTACCTGTGGCCCATCTTATGGAATAACCTCTACAGCCGACAAAATAGCCTCCTGAAGAGATTTCAGCTGATTGGCCGTTAATGAGGTAGTCGAATAATCAAGGTGCTGGATTTCCACCTTGATATCCGCGACAACCTTCGCATATGAGGGTTTTTGCACGTCTGCTACACCTGGCGATGCCTTAGATTCAGCCGTGCATTTGAGCACAAACGTTTGCTAACCTGCTCGTGGGGGTTTGTTCCTCAACCTGAGACAGATTTTGCATATGCCCCTCAATAATTTAGTGCAAGGCGGTTTCATGGGATTGAAGAGACGACTCAGTCGTTTCCTGGCTGCACCTGGTTTAGTTATTGGATCAGGAGTTGGAGAGTGGAGAAGCTCTCGCTCCTGATCTAAAGTTACAGGAAGATCAGTTGGAGTCGTAAGCTCGACATCCATCTCCTTTGAAGACTCACCGTCAGAAAAAAATGTAAATGTATTCTGTCCATAAAAGACCCACAAGTAGCTAGGGAAAGAAGGTCAATCACGGCAGAGCCCCGCATTACCGTGACAAGACGATGATACTCCGACGAGAGGGCGCCCGGAATCTCGAAGGTTCCGTTAGAGACAGCTGGGAGATTCAGTGTCATTCATCCTCTTGGCTCGGATACACACACTTTAGGATTAAACTATCGTTGGGATGCCATTCATTTGGGGAATACCAGAACCACAAGTGATTCTGTCATTCCCGTATCCAGCGGGGCTACGTGGAAGCAGGTATCCGATGGCCAGTTTGCTCAACCCCCACATCCCAAGCCAATACACTCGCAAAAACAGCCGGCACAGTAGTTCAGGCAGTGAAAGATGAACAAGGGTAGCCAACCATCATAGCAGAGTCATACAGTGAGGAAATCGACGAGATGTGCCGAAAATTGCGCCAGCAGCAGCCGGAACGTACATTTCACAAATCACCGTCCAAAAATTTAACGATTTGGTAGAAGTTCTGCCTCGCCCACCATACTGCCCAGAGCTCTCGCCAACCGATTACCATCTTTTCAAGCACTTCGATAACTTCCTTACTGGTAGAACCTTCGCCAATCAGGACCAGGCAGAAACGGCTTTTATCGACTCCATTGAATCCCTAGCACATACTTTTTATGCTGACAGAATTAATCGACTTGTGTTACGTTAGCAAAAGTGCACTGATTCAAACCATGCTTATTTCGATTAAATTGAATAAGTATTCACTGAAATATTACAATTTAAAGTAGACTCCTAAAAACGGACAAAACTTTTGAAACAACCTGACCAAATATCGGTCAAGTCATTGCTCTTATCTGATAGACATTTTTTGTAATGGAGTTTCACCAGAACAGATGAGCATTGGGTTCCAAACTACTATATGAAGGATTTCACTTTTTTAACCACTTCCTGTGTTTTCTTTACAGATATTGATATTGTTGTATCATCTTTAAACATAATTATCTTTCTATTAGATAGGTACTTTGGTAATTTATTATTGAATATGAGAAATAATAAATGTGGTAAATTGAAAAGCTTATGTTGAAGAAAATTTAATAGCATAAATATTATTTGTTTGAAGGTGATTGACAATGTTTCATGATGAATTTCACTAGTTCAGACTTCCATTGTCTAATATATAAAATGATTTGAAATCCCTAAAACAACAATTTCATTGTTCTATTGTTAGTATCTACAATCGTCTTCGGGCGATGACTGGGTTTCAGGGATTTCAAATCATTTTATATATTAGACAATGGAAATCCGAACTAGTGAAATTCATAAATATTATGTTATTAAATAAAATATAACTCTTTTCATTTATTTCAGTTGAACGAATCATGGTCTCTTGAAATTGACACTGAAAAGCTTTATTTGGATACTATAAAAACAACTGAGAGCCGATTTACAGTCGTTCTAGCATCTATGTTAGTTAAACGGATGATCAACTGCAAGAGCGAGCTTTTAGAAGTTTATTTGGTAAATATGAATTTCTATTTGTACTGACATTGTTCTTACAAAAATTAATTTTCAGAACCAACTAATTGACTCCTTTATAAATAATTTCATCAGCTGCAAAACTAGATCTTCACCTGAATTGATAGTAGCTTGCTATCCTCTCTTATCCCAAGTAAATGAGGATTTATTCAAGAAGAAGTTATTACCTGCATTACAAAAAGCAATGTTGAGAAACCCAGAAATAATTCTTGATGTTGTTGGTTTAGTTTTATCAGGTATTAATCTTGATTTGAGTGATTCTGCATATGAAATTGGAACAAGTCTGATAGGTAATTTCAAAACACTCTCTTTAGTTATATTCGAAACAAACACATACATTTCTAGTGAATTTACATATAAAAGACGATGACGCTAGGAAAGATGCAGCAAATGCTTGTAAACGCCTTGCAGAAAAAATAAAAAGTGAAAAGAAACTTGAAGAATTATTAGAGAAAACATTTGCTGTATTCCATGGATCTGATGGCAAGTTAACTGTTGTTGATCATAAAATTAGTGTTCTACAGGTACTACCTCGAAATTTATTATCTTTTTTTTGTAATCTTTATAAGAATTTTTTAAGGGTGCAGGAAACTTCAGCTATAACAATGTGAAAGGCGAAGATTTGCAATATTTGATTGGTACTGCTTCAGATCATTTTAGAAAAGTTTTGGAAATTGAAGTGCATGAGAAAACTTTGTGTTTTGCTTTGGATATGATGGCTTTATGGACGTCAAAATTGACCACAGAAGTTCCAAAAAAGATTATTGAAGGTTTTAAGGTTAGGAAAATTCAGAATGGTTTAATTTTACTCCATGAGAACAGCAAACATGTCACGAGAAGCAGCACTAGTAGTAGGGACAAACAATAAACTATTCACATGTAAAACAGTGTTATTTACGTAATATTATTATACTTTTTTTCCAGTTACTTTTAAATTACGGCATGCAAGCCAAGTTTTAATGTTACAACATTGTTATCCTTTACAGTTCCAAATTTTAGTTTTGCTCCAGGAATATCTTCTGTTAAAAACATTCTTTTTTAATTGTACTTTACCATATGATGATTAGACAGTGTTTGTCCCCACCGAACTACTAGCACTGCTAGTGAGTGATTTTTCGTACTTCAGGAAAAAGGTTCATTATTCTCAAATATTTTACAGAACGGACTGGGATTGAAAACATCAACTCCTTTAGTGAGGATATCTTACATTCAAACCATGCTTGCAACCTTCAATACCAAAACTATACCCCAAGCATGTACAATTATATCCATTTTGCTGAAGTTGGTGGACAAAGCTGTATCACAGGCAACTAATGTATTGTCAGTTTCTGAAGGCGTTTGTGCTGCACTACTACTTCTTAAACTATCACATGCCAATCAAGAAAAAAATAATGGTTTTCAAAGTATGTGGATGGCTATTCTCGATATGGATAAACAAGTGTTTGTATCGGAAAAATACTTGACAACTTGTGCAGAAGAAAGTATGTATATAAAGTAAATGAATATTTTTGGTAGTGAATATTTCTATACTCTCATGTTGAATGCGACCATCCAACATAGAATATATTAAAGGCAATGCAATTTTGTTAGTCAATATAAATGTATGTAAGACACCTTTCTTATTGGTATCTGAGACATCGTATCTTATCAGATATGATCACAACTTCTTGATATCAACTGTCATTATTCTATAACTTTTGAAAAATCACCATCACAAAGATCACATATTTTGCTTTATTTTGCGATGATTAATAACATTGATCACTGCAAATTAATTCATGTTCTTAGGAGGATTGATATATTTAAGTACTCTGTGTTGAATAATTTTCTTAGGAGATTTGAGGAAATTAGTCAATGAGCAATGCAATAATTTAACAGAGCAGTTTTATATCCATAATTTTTTATCAAAAAAAAGAGAAAAAAAGAAAACTTTCTATTGATTGAAGAGGAAAAAATGAATTTTCGTTATATTGTTGATAAGAGCGGCCCCTACTTATCTGTCTGGTGAATCTCGGAAGAGGGAGAATCGGCGATGAGTTAACATGGAATGCTGAATAACTGAAAAACAAATATCTGCAGAGGACTTTTAAAGTGCGCCAATACAACTTTTAGAAAGGATTGAGTGGAGATGGAGATTAAGAGTCATCCTGCAAGGAAGAAATGATTTTGAAGGGGATTCTTGAGCTTTTGGTTGTTACATAAATTACAAATAAACACATACACGCCAATGTAATACCCATACATACACACGAACATACATGCAGACAGACACGTATACATACAGGTGCCCTATGTGATAAACAAAGGGTTGAAATAAATGCAAAAACATTTATCAATCAGGTTTCAAGTCAAAACATTCATGTGAGATAGCTCTCCAACTCTACCTGAATTGAAATTCCAAAACAAGCACTGCTTCAGAATACTAGAACTACAACACTGCAAGGATTTGTAGAATTTTTATAATTTCATTCTAATGTAGTATATACTGATCTATAATTTAACCACATTTTGATTACTGTGTGAGTCTCCTTGCTTGTCGGCAATTGCATTTCACTGTTACAAAATTGACAGAACAGAGGAATTTTGGTTGAATCAATCTTACAAAGAATATTCCATAGACTGTTAGAGGGCAATGATATTAAAAATTCAATTATTTGCATCACTTCAAACGTTCTGAAGCTGAGTATCTGAAAACTTAATATAATTCAATCAAAATTTCTTACATACTTAACATATTTATCTGTTTAAATGAAGGTTTTGAATTTAATGCCATTTTAAGCTGATGAATACTTATGTCTAGTTCTAAATATCATATTAACATATAAGTTCGATTCTTATTGTATGTGTTGATTCAAAATGAAATAAATTCTGCAATTATCTTAAAACCTGTATATACCCAATCAAACTGGGAAATGCATCTTAATAACAATAAGTTAGGAATTGAAAATAATAACATTAAGTTTTGGCTTCCTACTTCTCCATCATCAAACAAAAAATGTGGGAAACTTCCAGTTTAAGGAAGAAAGAAAACAGTGAAAACTGTTTATAAATATATGTAGGGTATACACAACAGTTTCTTTCAGACACAAACTAGAAAAAAAACCCTTCCGAAACAACTACTTTCACATGCATGTTGAATTACATGATAGAAAAAAGTCCTTTTGAAAAAAACTACTTTCAGATGAACATTAAATTATCTTTAAGGAAATAATTTTTTTCCATTCAGTTTGTACTACAGACATTCGTTGCATCACTTCAAACGTTCAGTAGCTGAGTATCTGAAAAGTCAATATAATTCAGTCGAAGCTTTCTTACATATTTAACGTATTTCATCCATTCAAATGAAGGTTTTAACTTTAACTTCATTTTAAGCTGATGAATATCAAATCACACCTTTACAGGAACCACGAATTAATACACCTAAACGAATCAATTGGAAGTAGATTTACATGGGAATTCCATGGTTATCCACGCTTTTTATAGGTCCCCCTCCACTTGCGTCGAAACGTTTATGGAGAACCTACAAGATTATTTAGAAAGCCAAACGAAAAAAAATAAGGAGTACAATTTTTTTGTAGGAAATATTAACAAAGATATCCTTGAAGAGAATGACAATAGAGTTAGCGATTATTTAACAACTATGGCCGAGTTTGGATATAAATTATATTATAAATTCACCAATAAATGCACCAATACGCCTCAAGGCTTGCCTTGATCAAATCTTCATCAATACCTCCAATAACAATATTGATACCTTTATACTGATTATAAACCTTACAGATATCACAGACCACTCAACAACGAGTGTTCAAGTGATCACAGGGAAAAAATGTATGCAAAACCAATAAAAATCAACTATAAAGCATTTCGATGAAAAAAAATTCATTGAAAGAAATAAAAAAACACAAATTGGCAAAACATCTTCTCAGATAACGACTTAGATGAAAAAACCAGAAAGGTTTGTGATACATTTAAAAAGCGAAGTTGAACAATCTACCTGTTATGTACAAATATAACGAAACGAAAAAGAAAGAGAAAAAAAAAAGGAAGGACTGGATTTCGACAGGTTTGGTTAATTATATCTACAAATTTTACACGTCTCAAAACAGATTATAAAAAATATAAGACCACTCTGGATAAGCTCAAAAATAAAAATTTATTTTACAAAAACCAAATCAACGAATACAAAGATAATGCGTGTAACCTATGAAAAACTTTAAACGAAATGTACTGCAGAAACTCAAGAGATGAAATAAATCTTATAAAAACTACAGATGGAAATATAACACGTGACATGAACGACATAGTGAATATGTTCAATCACACATATATCAATACTACATTCAGAAAAGACATAAATAGATATTCCATATTCCTGTACCTTACCAGTACAACAGAAGTCCTGGGAAGTTTTGGGACCCACGGTTTTGGGACCGATACTATTCTGTTTATACGTAAACGGATTATCCTCAGCAGGGTCCTGTGAAAAAATAACTAGTTTCGCAGACGACATAGCTACTGTCTACTCCGGAGAAACATGGCTCGATGACGAAAGACAGGCAGAAAATGATCTAGAACTAATAAAAGATTGGTTTGATTATAAACAGCTATCACTGAACTTCAAAAAAACATATTTCTTACCATTCTGCGACAAGAGACCCTTTTTACCACCATATCAAACCTTAATAATCCAAAATACCTTTCAAATATGCTCAGCTACAAATATAAAGTATTTGGGAGTTATTATAGACCCTCACTTAAGATGGAATTTTCATATAAACTATCTAGTGAAAAAATTAAGAAGTATCCTGGTGTGTGTTCATAAAAATCAAAATAGGTAATAATATATGGAACATTGGGGGTCTTTATAGGTCTCCAAGTTCCAGTAAGCCTGTTTTTATTGATGCTCTGGAGGATGTGATAGAAAAACATTTTTCTTATGGTAAAAGATGTTTATTGATTGGTGATTTTAATTTCAATTTTTTCAGTACTGAATATTATGAGCAAAAAATAAAAACACTATGTAATATGTATGGGTTAGATCAAGTTGTTCAGGATTATACGAGATGTTGTGGTTATTCAAAAACTTTAATTGATTATGTTGTTACAAATTATGATAATGTAAAAGCAGTTGTGAATGAACCTAACATCTCCGAGCATGGCATTATATCCATTAATTTATCCACTGAATACTTTCGATTGCCTGAAAAATCAATTACTTTTAAAAAAATTTCAGATCAAGAGTATCATAATATAAATATGCAATTAATCTCTTGTAACTGGAACAATAACTCAGTTAATGTCGATAATATTTTACATGAATTAATTGATAATGTGTCAACAATTGTTGATGAAATTGTCCCTGAGAAAACAATATATCTCAAAAGTAATTATGTGCCCTACTTTGATGAAGAACTTAAAGAAAAAAGAGTTGAGCGTAATAATACATATTACAATTTTAGGCATTGCGAGGGTGGTCTAAAAGAAGAACTTTGGAATGTCTATAAGATCATTAGAAATCAATATGTTGTTTTACTAAAGGAAAAAGAGAGATTATATTTTGAACAAACTATAGACAAAAATAAAAATAATAGTATGGAAATGTGGAAGTGTCTTAAAAAACTTGTTAAGCCAAAACAAGATGTTGTTAGCGGTATTCAGTTTGAGATTAATAATCAAAATGTAATTTTAAATAAGGAAATAGACATTGCTAATAATTTCAATTTATATTTCATATATAGTGTAAATGAAATAACTTCACTTTTTCAAAATGTACAGCAACGGGCCCATGACTACCCTGTTATATCAGCTAATTACACTGAATTCGCGCCTTTAACAATGAATGAACTAAGAAATATTATATTCTCGCTTGACAAAACTAACAAAGCAGAAGTTTTAAATGATAATTTCTTAAAAGAAAAGCTTTGATGTAGCTGGGTACGCAATATTAAATTTAATTAACACATCACTTAGAACCGGTGTGTTTCCAGATCAATTTAAGATTTCGACTGTTGTTCCTGTACTGAAAATTAACTCAATTAAAGCTGAACATTTTAGACCATTAAAAACACTACCAACTCTTGAAAAAGTGTTAGAAATGTTTATAGGCAACTAATCAGGTTTTAGAGCTAGACACTCAAGTGAAACGTCTCTACAATTTTTAATAACTGAATGGAAAAAAATACAACTGATAGAAATCAGTACATTGTTGCGACATTTCTCGACCTTAAAAGGGCATTTGAAACAATTGATCGAAATATTCTTAGATATTTATGAATTTGTAATTTTTCTTTTTTTGTATATTAGGCTTGCCTACTTGATAAATAAATAAATTATTGCAATGGTAGGAGTGTCCAAAAATCACTTGTACCCTTTTGCTTTTTTTATACATCACAGTAAAGTTATATTTCCATGTAATACAAATATAATTTTGTAAATATTTTACATGTATTTATTTTAGAATCCTTTTTTCCATTTTAGTGTTCCAATAAGAAGAAATTGTTAAATCAAATTGTGTTTCGCTACGTACAAACAGCTTTTGATATTTCTGTGGCTTTTTTAATGTTTATTTGCTGAATATATATTTGTTTCTTGTAATTGTTTATTAAAAATGTGTGTATGTGAGCAGATGTATGTGCATATCACCAAATTAGATATTCATATGTGGAGTTATTTTATCTACTTACATCACCTCAATCATATACACTATTTTGTACTTTTTTTCTTAGTGAATAAACATTATTATTACTATTATGCAATGTGTGTGTATATGTGAAAGTTAACTATTTTAATAAAAAGTTGTTTTCGAGATAGTCTCTGCTACGATTTGATCTTTCGGTATTACTATTATTCTAACTTATTTTTAAACAGTCCTTGTTTGTTTATTAGGTTGTCAATTTCAATAAAGCATGTATTACTATAGGAGTCGTTTTGAATATTTTACCAGATATTATTAAACTCGAAATTGGTCTCTGAGGAACACTGCAATCTACTCATCCTTTACCCAATTTAAAGTATTTAACAATTTGATATTTTCTTAACAAATATAAAGAGGTACTATTAAGCATTCACAATATTTTAGAGTATTGGTAACAAAAGGTAATGTCATTTTATTGTATTCATTCCTTTTTATTATTTTTGCTCCAGATATAGATTGAGAAAAGAAACCAATTTTTCACTTTTTTGTATGTAACCATTTGTTTAGAATTTGAAATTTCTGAATATCTCTAACAGGTAATTTATCTTATTCTCTTTAAGAGTCATAATCAGATTATTTCATAAAAAGTCTATTTTTGTGAATCTTTGACAGCATTTAACATATCTATGTAAATAATATGCTAATTAACTTTCTAGGTCTTATATATGTTATGCAACTCTGTGAATTTCTCTTGGTGGTTTATCCCGAAAAATTGAAAAAACCTGAACCAATTCTAAGGGCTGTTCTATATTGCACAACACACTCTTCACCTGCAACAAGAAGAAAATGTTTAGATATTTTGAAGAAAATCGTTGAAAGCCTTAGTGGAGTGACTATTGCAAGATCTATTCTCAAGGAGCTTCAAAAGTTTCTCATCACCAAGAAGGTTTTATCAAAATCAGAACACGAAAATAAAAAAGAAAATGATAGCAACTATTATATATCTTCCCATTCTCTGGTTGAATGTATCAAAACTTTATGTTCCTCTCCAGGATTGACACCAGAAGATGTGCATTTGTTGGCTATAGACTCTTTAATACCTGCTCATCACCCTTCTATAGTTACTTCGTCGCCAGACTTGTGGATAAAAATCGTCAAACGCTTAGGTTGCAAACCTAAAGATTTGATTGCTCAGCAGGCATCACATTTTCGGAATATTCTGGTTGACAACTATAATAGTGAACCTGTAAGTGAATCTTTTATTCTTTTCTACTACTCAACATATAGTTATAAATTTTAGATGAACGAATATTCTCTTTCAACCCTGCTTTCAATCAATGCGGATATATTATTGCCTTATATGGTTAGTAGAGTAATACAACAATTAGAAGATCCCAGAATGTGTCAAATTTCCAAAGATGACTACTTCACCTTTTTAACTCCGGACGGTGAACTATATGACAAGAGCGTTTTGCCCGGGTAAGATTTTTTAATGTAAAACATGCCATATTAGTTGTCACTTCACTATTTTAATAAAACCAAACTAGGACATTCAAATATTCATTAGATTATGAAAAATTCATAAAAAATGTGAATCTGTATCAAGAAACATCCATATTTTGCGTGTGGTATTAAACCTAACTCTTTAAAATATATATTGTGAAAACGGGATTCCACTGATTTTAGAGGGACATACTCGTGTTTAAGGGTTTGTAACTTTTCCAATGGTTAGCACAAAAAAAAACTGGAGTATATATAAAAAGGGAGATTACCTGTTCCTTTTAGTATTTATATGTTCATTTTTCAATTGATACTTATTGCCGATTGTTACAAGTATTGTATGAGAAATACTAGACAACCTTAATCAGTATGAGGTTCCCGATGGAATTCTGTTGCAAGGTGAAAGCTACAGAGAGACAAAACATTTTCCCATTTGGCTGATGAACGGATTATAAGTTTTCTTTTAATGCACTGTTTGGAATCTTTGGTGTAGTAATGAACATTGCTGGAGTTTTATCCTAACTTGGTTTCGATCACCAAGTGATCATCTTCAAGAGGAAGATTAAACTTTTTAGTATTCCCCTTGTTCATCTTCTAGAGGAAAATTAAACTGTTTAAACGTCTTCTTGAAGATGATCACTTCTTCAAGGGGAAGATTAAACTGTTCAATCTTTCTCTTGAAGATGATCACTTGGTGATTGAAACACGTGTCAAGGTGTTAAAAATTACAGTTTGGTGTTGGGATAAAACTCCAGTAATATTTATAAGTTTTCTGTTGATTTAATTGATGGTGTCTTCGTAGAGGAAGTTATCGTGCTCAATTCTCATTCAGCATCATTCTTGTTGAAGACAACTGAGTTCAAACATTCCATTTGTGACTAAATCTATGATGAGATCCTCCTTGTCGGTTTTGTCATCATCAATCTACCTGTGTCAATGTAATAATAGATCAATCTGTGGCCGCTGCATAGATCACTGGCAAAGTGTCACATTACCATTTATGAAGCATTGAACTGTTTCCAAGGAACCTGAAAAAAAATTGGCATCAATTGAAACAAGAATGTATGAATGTAGTGTATATACAATACAGTGTTGAGCTTTATTTTGTTTTCAACTAAATCTTAAGTTGTAATTTGTATAAAGCTGTTAAATTTGTATAGTATGCCATGTATTTATTTTTTTATTGAGAACCCACGCATATACTGGTGACATGGATAGGTTGTAATATTTTTTTCACTTTTTTTTCAATGTTTTCAATAGTTTTGTCATTAAAAAGTGCTCTAATGAAAAACTGAAGACTCAAAATGCCAGAGTTATGTATGATAAAATAATAATGAAAATTATTGATGATTTGTAGGTCTGATAATAACGCTGAAATAAATCTGAAAAGAGAAAGCAAAGTTTACAGCTATAATGAACAAATCGAAGAACTACAGTTGCGCAGAGAACTAGAAGAGAAAAAAAGAAAAGAGGGTAAAATTAAACCACCACAATACACTTCAAAACAATTGGAAGCTATAAAGAATCAAAAACTTAAGGAACAAGCAATTCGAGACAGATTAAGAGAGGTAAGAAATGCTGCTTAAGAGTTTTGTTTTTTATGATTTACCATTTTATTGCAATGCATGTGTAATGAATATTAGTCACAAAATAAATTCAACGAGATGACAAAATGGTTAAGCTTTGGCGGCCGAGGTTTTCAGTTTCACTATGTTTCGGATTTGAAGGCAGTCAATTTTTGGAATTTCTTCCTGACGTTTCGCTGGCGCGAGTGGCTAGATTTCTCAGAGGTTTATACATCCTGAGTAAACTGCGATGACTGGATATTACGGCTGCGTAAGGAGCATTTATGTTGACTCAGGTAGTTTGTTGTTCTCATATCTGTACCTGGATTAGGTAAATTTCATAAAACGCGTTCATGTTGACTCAGATAGTTTGGTATGCCAATACCTGTACCTAGATTAGGTAAATTGTCAATAACATTCGTCGACCCTTTTCTACCTGCCGTCATGCGGTTTGCTATTCTTGAATTTCTTAGAATGGGATTCTATATTCGGTTATAATATCCCTGGTCGGGAGCAATGAGTTTTTTGTTTTCAAACATAATCCTGTGGTTTACTTCACTGAGTGTGTGTTCTGCCAAAGTCGACATGTCCGTTTGGCCTAGTACGCAGTTTCTTTCATGCTCCTTCAGCCGTGTTCCCATGGAACTTTTGGTGGTTCCGATGTATACTTTCCCACAAGTGCATGGTATGCGATACACCCCTGCTGCTGATAGTGGGTCCCTCTAGTCTTTAGTTGATTCGAGTCTTTGTTGTATTTTTTAGTGGGTTTAAAAACTGTTTTAATGTTGTTTTTCCCCAGGAGTTTTCCAATTCTGAATGTGACCCTAGGGATATATGGTAGATAAGTACGTGCAACCATCTGAGCCTCCTTCTCATTTTGAATCGTAGAACTCTTCAGTTTCATTGCTTCGTTGATTTCGGGTGCTCTGATATCCACTTGATCTCACGTAACGTTGATATCCATTTGATCTCAAGTGACCTCACAGGTAATGATATAAAATGACAAAACAAGCGGAGTTCCACTGGAAATCCACAAAGGAAAATAACTGTTGAACCACATTAAGTTTTTTATTTGGCTAGTAGGAAAGAAATTACTTCCACTGAAATCTCTCCAAAACCAAAGTATCAAATGTATATTCAAATAAACTTTTTTGGAGCCTACTTTCCATTCATATGTTTCAGATAATCTACTATAAATAGCAAATATGTCTATTCTTATATTCTGTTATCAATAACAAAAAACATTCAATTGACACACTTCATAATTAGCGAACTAGGCAACCCAAAACTAAGAAATCTGTTTTTTATACTGAAATTTTGATCTAGAGCAACCAACCCAATAATATAAAAAAGTTATTTCAGGAAAACGATTCAAAACCAAAGGAAATAAACGTTTGCTAAACTAACTCTTTTTTATCTCACGTGCATGTTCGTATTTACCATATATCCCAAGGGTCACATACAGAATTGAAATATTCTTGGGGAAACATTGAACTGTTTTCAAACCTACCAAGAAGTCTCAGATTGGCTAAAGACAAGAGAGGGTCACTATCATGAGTAAGGGTATAACGCATACAGTGTACTTGTGGGAAGATACACATCGAGAACACCAAAAATTCCATGGGAATAAGGCTATAGGAGCATGAAAGAAAATGCAGGCTAGGCCAAACTCATTCCCCAAACCAGGGATATTATAGCCGATCAGTATGGGAGGCAATAGAGATCCACAAACATACGAATAATTTCAACAGAAAAGAAGAAGCTGTGAACTTCAACCGAATATGGAATCCCATTCTAAGAAGTTCAAGAATAGCAAACAGCATGACGGAAGGTAGAAAAGGGTTGACGAATGTTATTGACAAGTTAACATTAATCCAGGTACAGGTATTGGCACACCAAACTACCTGAGTCAACATAAATACGCCTTACGCAACCAGAACATCCAGTCATCGGAGATTATTCAGGATGTATAAACCTCTGAAGAAGCAAGCCACTTACGCCAGCGAAACGTCGAGAAGAAATTCCAAAAATCGACTGCCTTCAAACCCAAAAAAAGAGACTGATTTACCAAGATTTTCTGAGCCAAGCTCAAGTGGGAATTCCTATTGAGTTTATATTATATTGTGATAAATAAAGAAAACTATGGTGAACTAATTCTATTCTTTCAAATTATAGTTGAACAAGATTATCTTGGATTGCATATCCATGATAACTGCAGCGGCTAGGGGAAATCCACTCCAATTATCACTACATTTCAAGAACCTGCTACCATCTTTGCTTCAAGACTTGCAGTCTCCCCTAGCCGCACCACACATCTGCAAGCTTTTTGTCAGCTTAAGGAAGACTGTATTTCCCAAACATTTGGATCACCTTGGTGAACGAATAGCTTGGATAACCCTCAGGCTGATTAAACCCCAGTGTGATTTAGATGCCGACTGGGAGTCGGAAGAAATAGGCTATGCCGCGAATCGTGCTGTAACAATGATACATGATGAGACAGTACCCAACAGGATTATAGAAACAAGCTCTCAAAAGCCTTTCACCATACCAACATTTACCTATTCTTTTTCATTACTAAAATACAGCATGATGACCGATTTTGCCAGGAATCACGAAGATTTTATGTTCGCCGCATTACAGATTATTTCAGAACATGCTAAACTTAGAGGAAAGGAGGAAAATGGTGTTATAGATGTTTACCATCCTTGCTACCTACCTACCAGGCAGATTTTCAGTCTTTTAGTGGATACGATAAGTAAGCTAAAATTTCAACAATTCTTTGTCCAATTTTTTTTATGTATTATATAACTCTTTTTTTTTTGTTTAATCAACGAAATGGGAAAATGGGATGTTACTTTTTGTTAGGATTAAGTTTCACTTTTGTATTTCCTTTGTTTCCATGCACTTATTTGTTGTCAACTTGTACAACAATACTACTTTTGTCAACTTTTGTTGGGTGTTTCAATATGAACCATACCCAAAACTTGTTCAGTTTCTGGTTAATATACACATGTCCACGATTCGCCACCTATATCAATTCAATACTCTCTTTTGGAGAACTTCCATTGTATTTCTTGAGCATCAATTTGTACCAATATACATGTCTTGATGAGTTTTCTCAAACGGCAAAGATTAAAGGCGAGCGTCGTAAATCATTTAAGCGACTAATGGCTATTTCTCTCGAGTTAAATACTAAACTTTTTAAAAAATGAGATTCATTTGTGAAGAATATCCCGAATGGGAGTGATATCAATAAATATAACAAAAAGCAATTTAAAAAAGCATTCGAAATTTTTTTGTTATTTCATTGATGAAAAATATAAATAAGTGCAGTCGGTGAGAATTCAGATACCTTTAGTATATGAGCTCAGAGTTTGACTGCAACTCCACAAAGATATTTACAACTTTATGTCACAAAGCTGATTACGTTTGTAACTACTCTAGGAGAGGAATTTTTGAAAAATATCAATTTTTTTCCCACATTACAAACTCTTGGTGAGGTATAATCGTTTCGCTTTCCGAGTCCACGTTTTCATTTTTGTTTTTTATTAGAAACTATATATTTTAAAACAAAATGTCAGTTCAACTGTTAAGAACATATTTTGAAGTAGGTAAATTGTCATGAAGGCTTACTTGCAGTTGAAAATAACTGAAACACAGCTTTAAAGTTATGAATTTGCTTAACTATTAGCCTCTAACATACTGATTTATTAGTGAGGTCAACTGTGATTGGTTCAAAATTGTGAATTATGTATCATTTTGCCTAGTTTCCCAACAGAAAAAGGTTACATAATTATCACTTTTTTTAAATGGGATGTTAATTTTTGTTAGGCTCAAGTTTTTATTTTCGTATTTCCAGGCACTTATTTATTGTATTGCCAAACATGCGCCAAATAAAATGACTGTTATAAGAAACCAAGTATAGCTGAGACACCAGTCAATCTAATAATAACACTGATGATCTTCAAACATAACTCAACCTCTGGCGGATGCACCAAACTCCTATGAAGGTTCGAAATAGATGAACACTTCATCTAGCAGACCACTATTATAATCTTCATGTAGTCATTGTTCGCTGTGGTTCAGATGTTGAATCTGGTCATCATTACGCCTTGGTCAAATACGAAACAGACTGGTTTAATTTTGTCTTTAGTCGTGTCACTAAGTGTTCTGGCGATGTATTGAATTTATTGGAGCGTCTGGAGACACCCTTCATTTTGTTTTATGAGAGAGATGATATTGGCGGATCAAGATCTTTAGATGATGTGGTGCTACAGGTTTTTCTAGGTTTTCCTGCAGGTGAAAAAGCAAATGCGCCACTGGAATCAATGAAGTCGCCCCGGAGCGCCAATTAATTTGCGCAAAAATGGCCGTTTCTTGCTCGAATAATTTACAACATTGAACCTCACGAGTAATGGCCACATTTCTCACTCATTATAATATACTATAATTCACTTGTATGACTGGTTCAAAAATCAAACCATTTTCTATTTCAGTGTTGATATATGCATCACTTTTTTCACCATTTTCAACTGAGCAAATGGGTATATATAGAAACCAGTTTGATAGATTTTTCAATTCACCTGATNGAAACCAGTTTGATAGATTTTTCAATTCACCTCATTCATGAATGATTTTTTTCCATCACTGCAATTCAGATTCAAAAATGTTTCAGGGAATAACTACATGTTTCATTTCATCACCAGAAATGAAAAAACTTTGTAATTGCGAATGATTTCATCCAGTTGATTAGTCAAAAAGTGTTAGGTAGTACATTATTTCTTCTTCCTTTCTCTATGAATTTAACTTCTTGTTATTTCATCGAAAATATTCAAATAAACTGAAAAATACACGCTTTGCTAGTATTTGACAATGTAGGACCCCGTTTCGTGGTTGCCAATTATCGTTACACTGGAGTTGGCTGTACTGTTCTTTTTTAGAATTGGATGTTAAAAAATGTAACAACCATTCATCTGTTTGTATTATGAAACAACTGCATGGATGTTTTTCAGGGATGATAAAATACGTAAATGAATATTGGTATTTCAGTTACATCTCGCGTCACCTATAATTTTTTTATGTTCATAGAAGTAATTAACCGATTTCCAATTTATTATTAGTTACTCGTTGTGTTCATCTAAATTTATGTGTTACTGTTAGATAACATATTTTCAGTTCAATTTTAGTTTTACAAACTCTGTATTGTAACTAACTAAGCTTAAGAAATATATCATTTGTGTATTGTTGTATATATTCGGATTTTAAATTCTAGACAACACTTCTGGTAGGATTCAGTCTCAGTGTGAAGCAAGCCTTCTTGAAGTAGCGCGATGTGTGAGTGGTCAGCCAGGGTGTGCTAAAGCAACTTTAGATGAAATTGATGTATTACTGGGTGCTCTACAGAGCCCTGCTGTAGTGGTCAGAGATGCAGCTTTGAGAAGCCTTATAATAGATATTGCTTCACTTCCTAATTCAGAGAGCGACTTTGAAAATAGTTTGAAAGTTTGTAAAAGAGTTTGGATAGCCACCTTCGATGAAAATGAAGAAAATCGGTAAATGCTTTTAAAGTATTTTTAGAAAATGTTCTCTATGCTTTTTTTCAGGCAATTGGCAGAAAAGTTATGGAAATTGGGAAATATGAATTTCCCTGTGAATCTTGCTAAAGAATTAATGAATGATATTGAGCACCCTGTAGAATGTGTTCAGACTGCAGCGGCAAAGGCTTTGACTGCACTTTTAGAAACTGACATTGAACAAGTTGAAAGTATTTTGGAAAGTTTGATGCAGCTTTACAAGGATAGATTAAAGGTTATCAGAATCACTATACCATTTACAAATTATTTGGATTATCTTGGAACATTCATTATCAATTAGATATAGAAAAGGCTAAACAGAAATCAAAATTAAAATTATTGATAGTTTCACCTTTTTACTCGAGTTCATGATCAGTTGCACCTTTTCCAGATGATTCCTGCCAAAATGGATGAGTTTGGCAGAGAGGTTGAAAAAGCTGTAGATACATGGTTTCCTAGAAGAGGTGTTGCTGTAGCTTTGGCAGAGTTAGCACCACTGATAACGCCTGAGCTCATCGGAAATTTGGTGCACTTTTTTGTGTTTTCATCACTTGGAGACAGAAACGAAAATGTGAGAAAGGAAATGTTGAATGCGGCCCTGAGGGTGGTTAATTTACATGGAAAGGTTTGTCTTCAACTGAATACAAAACATCAGTATTAACCAGAATCCTTTTTATTAGGAAACAGTTGGTACTCTTTGGCCTGAATTTGATGATTTCATGGGGAAGTCATCGAAGGCATCATCATATGATGCTGTTAAACAGGCAGTTGTGATTCTGATGGGTTGTTTGGCAAGGCATTTAGATAAAGATGATGAAAGAATCAAACCTATTGTCATACGATTGATACAAGCTCTTTCCACTCCATCACAAACGGTATGACTTGAAAAAAAAAACAATGAAAAAGATGTGTCTGATATTATTGACAATACTCTTTAGGTTCAAGAAGCAGTATCGAACTGTTTACCTCCCCTAATTCCATCTGTGAAAGATGAAGCTCCAGGCTTTGTGAACAAATTGTTACATCAATTACTAAAAGGGGACAAATATGGTGAACGTAAAGGTGCTGCTTATGGACTAGCTGGTTTAGTGAAAGGTATGGGAATACTTGCCCTGAAACAACATGACATTATGACCAAGTTGACAGAGGCAATTCAAGATAAGAAGAACTATAAACATAGAGAAGGTAAAGGGAATATATCTATTTATATCTACAAGTGTATTTGGGTATCATGAAAAATATTTCACTAATTATTGAGTTGAGTTCCAAATTATTCAACTAACACTTCATTGTGAGATTTTTACTGAATAGTTTATGTATTTGTGTACACCTCCGAGTTTTTCATTCTAACAGTTAATTAAGTGCGAATTAAACAATATTTCCTCAGTGGAATGAGCCGATTATTTTTCTTTATTTTCTGATCTTTTTGCTTATGCATATAAAATTCAGTCATTTCTTGTAGTTCAACTTGGGAAATTCAGAAAATGAGAAATAAATGAAAAATGTGTAATAAAGATATATTTTCGATATTTTTACTTGTACTTTACTTTTTTCATTTCTTCCAAATAATCTGTAATGAAGCTCTTCAAAAAAAAAATTACTACAAGATACTGCTAGAACCGGAAAATGTAAATAAAAATCGTGTTGAAACAAATATTCTCGGTAAAACAAACAATATATCATAGAATATTATCGTCATACGTCTAAGTTGCAGTCTTTGTCACGCACAAGAGTTAAATTACATTAGTATGAAATTATATTTCTATGTTTGGAGAATATTTTCCTCATGACAGGCTATTTGTATGTCTAACATACAAACAAATAAAATACATCGATATGTTTTATTGCGTCATGAGCCATGATCGCTTCTAAAGTAGATATTTTTTTGTCATATATAAATGAACATATTTCCTTTATAAAAATATATCACAATTTATAATAACAAAAAGCCTTATTAGTTGATTTAATTAGTGTCCGACGAAACTGGTTTTTACGACCGAAAACGAATTTCGGCAACTGTCTTAGTTTCGGCCGAAACCGAAACTTCCTTACAAAGATCATGTTTTGATGGAAAAATAAAGAAAACGGTATAACAATCAGTCAGTCTTGATTTTTTTTTATCTTTAAATCACAACGTTATGCAGTCTTCGACATTTTTACTTATTGACAACCAACATAACAAACCCTTATTTAAGAAAAAATATTAATTGCACCTTGAAAATACTTAAGTTGTTACCTAATATCACAATAGGTACTTAATATTTATGTAATAAACAAAGTAAATCACAAAGTAAGTCACGAGTCATGACATGATTAGGCACGTGGACGCGGCAAAATGTCTTCGTCGCTTATATGAAATTCAACGCGCCGAACATGACCGATTACAGCTCGGGAACTCCCGAATGCAGTTTCGGTTGTAGTTTCGGCAGCTTGGCGACGAAACCGAAACTAAACCGAAACCCGTTTTTTGCCGAAACTTTTCTTTTTTACTTGTTTCAGGGATTTCAAATAATTTTATATAGTAGACAATGGAAGTCCGAACTAGTGAAATTCATCACGAAACATTGTCAATCATCTTCAAACAAACATTGGAAATTGTGTTTATGAAATAGTTTATTTTCTGAAAATTAATAAACTAACTGCAACCTTCTGTCGTATTGTCAAACAGTTTGGAGGTATGGCTATATATTGCTATAAAAAATTCTTACGAAATATGTAGAATAAATTCATTAATAAATTGATGGATGTAGCCGTTAATTCGTGGTAGAAGATCATCATACCTTTTTGACATACTTGAACAAATCGTTTTTCTCTCTGAAATCATGCATGCTGTCGGTATGAAATTCGGGACAGTCAATGGGCAATGATCCATATCAAAAGAGGACTATGCGGGGACTACCGAGAGGATGTGCAGCGCGTAGATGGAAGCATCCTTCATCACCTGGATGCCTGAGAGACGTACAATATTTACCTCGGGGTGGAACAATGCCACTCGAGAGGAGCTGTATCATCTCGACATAAACACTCGAAATATGATGCATCTCCATAGGAGTTTGCATCCCAAATCGTCCGTTCCTCGGTTGTACTTCACCCGACAACAGGGAGGCCGTGGGCTTTTGACTTTGGAGTATCTACATGACAGAATGGTACTGGGTGGAGCCTGTTATGTCGTCAAGAGTTCGGATCCCCTTTTCTGCATGGTCCGCGACTATGAGAGGGCAGGAACTGGAGCATTTCTCTTTAGGGCAGCTGCTCGAGCAGCTAATGATCTCGGATTTGTTTTCGACACTGAATTAGGTGATTGCAACTCTGTCATCAAGTTGGAACCCGTTCAGCAAAAAGCTCATATAAAAGCTGCAGAGATAGATCACTACACTTCTGCGGCAACACAAGGATAAGCCAATGCATGGGGGTCTTCTTAAATAACATTGAAGACCTTGGCTTGTCAAAGAAGTTGACTTTCGCTTTACTGAGATCGAGTGGGCTGAAATCGGAAACTGAGGGGTTCATTATGGCCTGCCGGGATGGTGTCTTCAACACCTTAGTCAACCACATCGCGTGATGGGTACATAGGTTCCTGAAACAAGGTGCAGGACCTGCCGCGAGGCGTCCGAGACCCTAATGCACTTGCTGTCAGCATGTCCAGCATATGCGGTCTCGGTATATATCCTTAGACATAAGGCGGCCCTAAGAAGGCTTTATTACCACCTACTGCACTCTTACGGTATTGACGAGACACCGGTGTTGCCCTACGCTCCGGGGGATATTGAATCCGTTGTGGGGAACGAGAAGTGCATAATCTATTGGAACTATTCGTTACCCACCCTCAGGCGCATACAAGCTAATAAGCCTGATGTAGTCCTTCTCGAACATCAGAGCAAGACGATATTTTTTGTGGAGTTTTCAGCTCCTGGCGAGGCGAATATCGTCCTAAAAGGACGAGATTTTCTCTTTGAATTCCGCAGACTTTATCCAGACACTCTGTCAAGATAGTTGTTCTGATTATTGGAGTCCTTGGTAGAATGATACCCTCTCTACTCTCGAATCTCAAAATCATACCGGCTTGCCGCACTAAAGCATAAATCTTAGCTGGACAGATGCAGAAGGCTGTCATTCTTGGCTCACTCCACTAACTCAGGGCGTATGATTCTCGAACCTAATGATCACTTCGCCACGGTGTTGGGAGTGGTCATTGGTTGATGATGCAGGCGCCCCTTTACGAATGTATCGGGGCTTCGGGGGATAGGTCCTCTGACCAGCGCAAAATTCGGTAAAAAACATAATAATAATTATAGATTTTATTGCCCCAAACTGCAAAATATAAAGTGAAATACAAGTAGTGAGTACATATATGTTATCAAGTACGACGGCAAAAGGCAGAGTTTGGTCTTGACGGTAAGCTCAGTTACTGAGAAGGAGCGCTCTTCCAATCAACCCCGTGGGTTTATCAATAATTGACTACACTGAACAATAATCAAACTTGACTTTATTTCACTGTTCATACAACAAAACACTTTGAATAAAACTTCAGCTATCATTCAAATGTCTATCGCCTTATTAGATCACTCCGCGTACCGCAATGTCACTGAAACTATCGACTATGTCGATAGGCGCGTGGTAGCGTTTATATTTGGCAATCAAAGGTGATAGAAAATTCGTCGGAATTCCATCGAAGCCGGTGGCATTATTCTCGCCACGTTCAGAACGGCCGCGAACATCGAACATTCGCGAAACGTCGAGCCAAAAAGGTGGTCAAAAATAATTTATTGTAGTTTATGACTTTATATCTCCTTTTTTTTCAATCTAATGTGATTACTAACAATAGGGTCGTGACGGTTGGAAGTTTACGGCGTTGTGGTCGGCGAGTCTTGGCCTACGCCTGCCGATATAAAGGAGATGTTTCCTAGTGACCGGTCCATCTTACTGGAAAGGACAGGATGGACGATAAACTAGGAGGACAACGACTCGGGAGGACGTACAATGGGTCATATGTGGCCTAAGTGCCACATGTATACACTCACCCTCCCTAATATACATATACATATATGCCTTTTGTTGAACTTTCTACATGTCCTGCTGATGATTCTATCACACTGTCCAAAAATAATTATCAAATTCATAAGAACTTCGTTTGAATAGTTTTGTTCCATCGTACATATATTTTTAGCAATTTACCCAAGCAGCAATGAGTCGACATTTTCAAACCATTCCTTGGCATGTAACCACAAGTTTCCGAATTTTAACGATACGGAAATTTTACACTATGCAAGGAAGGGTTACAAAGTCAATCATTTAGAATCCTTGAAAATTCACAAGCATAAACATTGCGGGTGCTTTCCTGTTGAATGATCAAATCGATTTATTTTACTCACCGGTTTTTAAATTTGCACATCCGCATTGTAAATTTACAATTTACGTACTCAATCAAGCCAAGTACCTCTATCGGTACCTACAAGGGTGGTGTATAAGGGCTAATGTAATGAACCATTGTTAGTTTATTGTATAAGTTTGAAAATGTCCGTGGTGTGTCAGATTTATTAGTCAAAATGGCGGCTATTGAACAATGATATTCATTAAGTTCATGTACTTGTATTGGTATTTCTACTTGTTTATTTTTACACTTTCTTCGAAAATCATTTATAATAGACCAAGTCTCTTCAGCTCTATTACTTGATTGAGTATTTCTTTTTTGATAAAAGTTACATTTTGCATAATTCGTCAGTTTCTTATAAATGTTTCTGCATTGTTTGACATTGTTATGAAATGCTGTGTTATTTGTGACTTTTTTAATGTAGTTAAGCGATCATAGATAACTAGATAAGATTTTTATGCCTTTGCTAAGCCAATGCTTTTTTTATTGCAATTTCATCTTTTGATGGGGAAAGGAGTTGTTAAAAATGGACCAGAGCTGATTATAAAGTTTGAAGAGGATCAATAACTTCCTGAGTATGTTCCCAATTTGTTTGACAGCAGTTTAGATAGAACCTATTATAGTTTGCTGTACTGTATCTACCATACTTGAACTTTTTACCTTGTTTTGTAGAATTAATGTTAACACTGAAGTGAATAGATTCATAACTTGAAATTATTGTGAATGTTGCTAGATACATAATCAATAATCGAATTACTATGTTGTGTTATAAAGAGTTGGAATGTTAACATGCATTTTCAAGCCAAAATAAGTTAGTAGATTCATCAGCGACTGTGTTGAAATTGATTCAACTTTGTCAACCCCAGTAAGAATAATATTTGACTTAGAAGGAATTTCATTAACCAATGATTCGAGTTGAGAAAGGAAGGTGTGTCAGAAGAAGGTTATTTATAAATACATGAAATATAAATATTTATCTTTTTGATTTATCTTTTTGAAAGCTCAAAAATGTTTTCAAGAAGCGAATGGTTGTATTTATCACAATATTAAAACCTCAGTTCATTTCTCACGAAATCTTTCACTAATATAATAGTCCCACCATGAGATGAAATGGTTCTGCAATACTTAGATAATATACCATAATTGTGGACGAATATTAACTCATTTTGTATAATTATAAATTATTCACTTTAAACTGGGAAGTATACCTATAATTTCAGAAATGCTGCGATTAAGCCATGTCTCAATGAAGGAGATCGTCCCCCTACTTTTTATCAATTTATAACATCACTTTTTGGCTTGCAAGAACATTGAAACTACGTTTTTGAACTCATCAATAACATATTTGAGATTTTGGAGGAAGGCAATGTTGAAAGTGGACTTTTTCTTGACTTATGTGAGGTCTTTGGCTATATACATTTTGATATACTTGAAATTTTGGAACCATACCGATTTATTCTGCGAGAAGCTGACCAAGGCCTGCTATGTTTTGTGTAAACTAATAAAGATCCCCAATACTAATATAGCCAGAATATTCAAGTTTGATCTGAGAGGGTATTCTGGTGGTAGTGATGTTTTTTATTTCAATCGGAATCTGTAGAATAAGCAGAATTACTTACTGAAGAAACACAAATTGTAGGAAAAAAAGCCGCTACTACTAGCAGTGCTTATTTATGAATACATTAAATTTGTTTATAAACATAGGAACTATTCTGAACCTTTTGAAATACAACTCTCATATGGTATAAGACACAATTAAATTACAAGGCACCATGTTTCCATCCGTCATGTATAGAAAAAGGTGATTTGTATTTGTATATTCATAACAATGCAATGAACTATTACCGTGAAAGTAATATAAATGTCAACAGAATGTCATTGGATATTGGACCTCATTCAGTAGGTTTGGTGTTCATCCGAGTTGCTTGTATATTGTTTTTATTTATTTTAGTCGCATTATTACTATTATTATCAGTTAGACACTACTAGGTGTCAGTGATATTAATTAAAGGCTCTGAAAAAGCGAATTTCTTAATAAGTGAAAACATAGTTTACCTTGTCCAATTCTATTTCAATATCATAATATTTTTTAAAACAAATTTGTTTCAGGTGCTCTTTTTGCTTTTGAAATGTTATTTCAAATGTTGGGAAAATTATTTGAACCCTATATTGTCCATGTTTTACCACATTTATTACAATGTTTTGGCGATACAAGTCACTACGTTCGTACTGCAGCTGATGATACTGCCAAAGTTGTAATGAGTAAACTTTCTGGACATGGTGTCAAGTTAGTTCTTCCTTCTCTTTTGGATGCTTTGGAGGAAGATTCTTGGAGAACCAAGACTGGTAAGAGGAGTAATGATTAAAAAAATATTGATTTTATTATTTACATTTACATACATATTATGTATTTGGAAATATATTTTATTTTCTACGAACTCTAAGTTAAAGTTGAGTATCCATTCAACAATGGTAAATAATGGAAATAAAGAAATTTTTGGTTCCTTTTCAAACAAGAAATTGGTTACTATGAACTTGTGAAACTCTTATTGATCGAACAAAATATTTGAGTCATTCATCATGAGACCTTTATTCATGTAGGATCTGTTGAACTATTGGGTGCAATGGCATATTGTGCCCCGAAACAATTATCCTCCTGCCTTCCAAGTATTGTACCGAAACTGATAGAGGTATTGAGCGATTCTCACATGAAAGTTCAGGAAGCTGGAGCAGCAGCTTTGAAAGTTATTGGTTCTGTTATCAGAAATCCGGAAATTCAAGGTAATTTTCAAGTACCGATAAAAACACAAACTTATTTTGATCATTTTAGCGATTGTACCAGTTCTTCTAAAAGCCCTCCAGAATCCATCCAATAGAACCTCAATCTGTCTGCAAACACTCTTAGATACTCAGTTTGTTCATTTCATTGATGCTCCGTCTCTAGCTCTTATAATGCCAGTTGTTCAACGGGCATTCATGGACAGATCTACGGAAACTCGCAAGATGGCCGCCCAAATCATTGGCAATATGTATTCGTTAACCGATCAGAAGGATTTGATGCCATACTTGCCCACCATCATACCTGGCTTGAAAACTTCCCTATTGGATCCAGTACCGGAAGTTAGATCAGTGAGTGCTAGAGCTTTAGGAGCTATGGTGAGAGGAATGGGTGAATCGAGCTTTGAAGATCTGCTTCCTTGGCTTATGACTACACTCACTTCTGAAACCAGTTCTGTGGATCGGTCTGGTGCTGCTCAAGGGCTCTCAGAAGTCGTTGGAGGACTTGGTGTAGAAAAACTTCATAAGCTCATGCCAGAAATCATTAGCACCGCTGAACGTACTGATATAGCTCCTCATGTGAAAGATGGCTACATAATGATGTTCATTTACATGCCGGTGGTATTTACCGAAGAGTTCACACCTTATATTGGACAGATTATAAATCCGATTTTAAAAGCTCTAGCAGATGAGAACGAATATGTTAGAGATACAGCTCTCAAAGCAGGTCAACGAATTGTAACGCTTTATGCAGATTCAGCTATTTTACTGCTATTGCCGGAGCTGGAAAAAGGATTATTTGATGATAACTGGAGAATACGATACAGGTAAAAATAGATTTGTAATGCTCATAAAACACTGGACTAATAGATTTTAATTTTCTATGGAAATATTGTAAATAGAGAATGATTCACACTTGTTTCATTTTCCTACTAAAATATATTTCCTCAATGTCACACAATATTTCACTTATTTAATTCACTATCTGGCTATTTCTAGTACATTGCTTGCTGCATATTTATTATTTGGCACAGAACTTTTCTTCAATAGCCTAGGATAATTTATATCAAATATGGTTGGTCTTTCCATGGATTTGTCTTCCAGGGTGTTTGAGGAGGAATTTTAGCAAAACAATGCTGACCTACGGCCAGACGATCAATTTTCACTTCATATCGTCCAACCTGTGCTAGGAATTGTATGTTGAAAGCTAAGATCCCATTAATCCTCAGCTTGTCAAGTTTTTTCTGCTGAGGGTTGTGGTTTGTAAGGGGCAAAAGCTTGTTAATGTAAAAACAAAAACAGTATGTCTTGTCTATACATGTCTAGAGTATGTCTACACTTGATACCTATATTGAAAACTATACTCTTCAACTCAGTGTAAGCTTGCAATAACTGGAATTATAAAATACTTTTTTTGGGCATAAAAATTGTTATCTCAACACGTTTTATTCATAATTTGTTACTCCATTTTTATTGAAATGTCAAACTTTTTGATTATAACGTATTCACCTCTCTTTTCTGTAAATTAGTAAATTGGTTTTTTTCTTCCTTTTCAGTTTTCCTATAAATGATACTTGTACCTGTTTGGGCCAATGTAATGTTTTTCATCTGTTTTTTTTCTACTTATTAATGTTCCCTATTTGGGATCGAACCTACAAGAGTCGTTAGAACTCCTTCCTGTGCTATCAGCTTTTGAAATTCATTGTCCCAGGATGTTGAAGTCCTTCACAAAAAGCTTTGCAATGAAGATTAAGTTATGTAGTTGTGAGTGCTCATAAATTTCTTTTTAGGATTCCATCTGATTAGCATTCCATTGTCTGCAACACATATGGGATTTTGAAATGCACGAAAAGGTTTCTTGAAGAATTTGAGAAAATTCTTATTGAAGTGAGAAACTAATATAAGAGTTATGTAAACTCAAAATAAATGTGAAAATAAGAAACTACTTACGCAACAAATATCTTGTTACATATTATTGAACTGTTGAAAACTAAGACAAATTGATCAGTAGGTCAATTTGTCTTAGTCTTATTGAAACACATTCAAAGTATTTGAAAAAAATGCTTTTCTTTTAGCTCTGTACAGCTTCTTGGTGATCTTCTCTACCGGATATCAGGTGTTACAGGAAAAATGAGTACTGAAACTGCCAGTGAAGATGATAACTTCGGTACAGAACAATCCCATATGGCAATTATTAGATCTCTTGGTGCTGAACGTCGTAATCGTGTATTAGCTGGTCTTTATATGGGACGGTCGGATGTTGCATTGATGGTCAGACAAGCTGCATTGCATGTGTGGAAGGTGGTTGTAACAAATACTCCTAGGACCCTCCGAGAAATATTGCCAACTCTTTTCAGTCTTTTACTTGGGTAAGTTGAAAAGCCAAAACCATTTTGGAAGGAACTAATTACTAGTTTCTTTATAAAATAATATCTGATTTGAATAGGTTTGTAGTTGATTTTGAAGTAGAAATTTGAAAGTTAAATAGTTCTGATCTAGCCATTATTTTTTTTATTTATATCCTTTGATACGTTAACATTTAGAGCGCGGGCTACAATCTGATCGAGCTGATCAAAGACAGGGAGTATGCATTGGCCTTTCAGAGATAATGGCTTCCACTTCCAAAGACATGGTTCTTACTTTCGTGAATTCATTGGTGCCAACAGTAAGGAAAGCCTTGTGTGATCCTCTTCCAGAAGTCAGACAGGCTGCAGCTAAAACATTCGACAGCCTGCATTCAACAGTAGGAGCAAGGGCACTTGATGATATTTTACCTACCTTACTGAATCAACTGGTAAGATATTTGAAAACACATATTTTTGTTTTGTACTAGGATCTGTGTCTTTGAGACCAAGAAAAGAAGTTATGAAAAAAAATGTGGATCAAGATTTGGGTTTTATACGAAAGTATGTTAGATTTTCAATAAACGTATATTGTACCTTACTGTTAAAATTCATGAACTGCATGGTTCATTACTGTCTGGAAATGGTTTTATAATTTCCGTTGTTATTGAATTGAATCACTTCAAAACAGAATTGTTTAATACAACTCATTGAAGAATTTTTGAAAATTAGTGAATCTTATGCTGTGCAACAGCTGGCCCAGACAGAACTGAAACTGAATGGTATATGCTTTTATAATTAATAATCATGTAATAAAATAAGTTCTGATTATATCAATAAGTAGAAAAATTAAAATGACATGTACATTAACATCATAACTCATTTAATATCGCCGTGTGAGTGTATTAATAGTTTTTTCGATTTGGTTTCATTTCTTTTTTAGAGTTTTGCAATTCATTTTCGTATGGAGATCAAGTAATGAGTACTTAGCAGTCTTTCTGCCTCGGTTAGTAGTTTTCCTAGGTGCTATTTTTGGTACTTGTTCATAATATACAGATGGTGTTTTATTCTCGTTTTTTGAAGAAGAGACACAATCATTGGCCTTAGCCTTTACATCACTCATAACAAGTTCGTTTATGGTGGGTGTCAGTTAACAGGTTCATTTTCTATTGCAGAAGCCGAAGGTGAAGTGATTGGCTCTGGTGTAATATTTTCTTGATTGGTCATATTAACTTCTTGCTCATTATCCATATAAATAAAATCATGATATCTAAAAACATTTCTATTAACAGGATGTAATCCTGTCTCACGAAAACCACTGACAGCTATCTCAGCTTTGAGTACGTAGATATGTGTGTCTAAATACTTCCATCATATCGTATTATTAGTGGGCATGATATTATTTCATCAGAAACATATTTTTTTGTGGTCTCATGAATGACTTATTCATTAGTTGTATTTTGTGCCTGGAATGTGGAGGGATTGATAGTAAGTGGACATGATTTTTTTTGCAAGGTCTATCAATTTAAGATATCTTGTATGACTTTATGGTCATTTAGAATAAGCAATACCGGAGATTCTTCAGTGGGTTTTTACGTATTTAATAAAATGTTGAAAACACTTTGTAAATGAGTTTGGATCAAGCCTAGAGGGTGACATTCATGTATGGCACTGGGAGTAGCACCTTTCATCAAAAGTGGGTGACTTCTTTTTCTTGGGAATATAATATAATAACATAATTGAATAGAACTGGCCGATACTTGATGAAAATCCATATTAAAACTAATTAATACAGTTTATTGTATGATTTTCACTATAAAGGGTTTTACAAAAATTGCTACCCGTGTTTGCTATACAATAGCTTCCTCAAGCGTGAACTAAAAGTTACTTCTAAATTACAGTAATTTTATACTCGACATATTACCTACTCGTATGCCAACTTTCTTATGAATAAATCTACCTGAAAAGATCAGGTATGAATTCAATATCTATATGAATAAATTTTTAAAAAGTATTGTAAATATACTAAACTATTTTTACCTTCAGAATCATGAGGATCCCAATGTGGCAGAATGGACATTAGACGGATTAAGACAGGTTATGTCAATCAAATCCCGAGTCGTATTACCTTACTTAGTGCCCCAATTGACTGCACCCCCTGCCAATACAAAAGCGTTGGCAATTTTGGCAACTGTGGCTGGAGATGCATTGAATAAATACCTACCCCGGATTCTGCCTGCTCTTCAGACAGCTCTAGCCTTATCCAGAGGTACTCCTGCTGAAGCAGAGGTGATATGAAATTTTAATGAAATACAATAACATTTTTAATGATACTTTCCCTTCAATTCCTAAATATAAGTATTTTTTTTTTCATTGACATTGTTCAAATTTAAATGATATATTATGACAATAAGTTTGTGATTTTGATATTCCAGCAAATGGAGTATTGTCATTCAGTTGTGTTGTCAGTAGTGGATGAGGTAGGGGTTAGGACAATTATTGATACAATGTTGGAAAATTCAAGAACTGATAATCCTGATCAAAGAAGGGCAGCAGCTACGTTATTATGCGGTTTTTGTGCCAATTCAAAAGCTCAGTATTCTGCCTATATTCCTCAGTTACTAAGAGGACTCATTCACCTCTGCACTGATTCTGATAAGGATGTCCTGCAGATGTCCTGGGAAGCACTGAACGCCGTTACAAAAGTATGATACACAATAATAGAAACATTTTTCGAAGTTTGCAATCAGTGAAATTGATTTTGGTATTGAATTTTTGTAGACTCTGGAACCAAAACAGCAAGCCACTTATGTATCAGATGTTCGTCAAGCTGTCCGTTATGCAATGTCGGACATGAAAGGTACATCTGACCTTTTGCCAGGATTCTGTTTGCCGAAGGGAATTGCTCCAATTCTTCCCATTTTTCGGGAGGCAATCTTAAATGGAGATGGAGATGAAAAAGAGACAGCGGCTCAAGGTCTGGGTGAGATTATCAAGGTTACCAGTGCATCAGCCTTGCAACCAAGTGTTGTTGCTATTACTGGTCCTCTTATCAGAATTTTAGGAGACAGGTTTAGTGCTAATGTTAAGACTGCTGTTTTGGAAGCTCTGGCCATTTTGTTAGCTAAGGTATGTTTCCATCTATTCTATACATTGTTGACGTACAGTTATTTGCAAAGTGTTGAATTTGATTTCTGTTGATGTATTGACTGAATGAATAAGTGAGAAAATACTAAACAATTTCGAAATCTTGAAATCAGTTTGTACTGTATATGTCATATATTTGATTTTTAAAATTTCAGGTTGGAATAATGCTGAAACAGTTTCTGCCGCAGCTACAAACCACATTCGTTAAATCATTGAATGATCCTAATCGATCAGTTAGGTTGAAATCTGCTACAGCTTTGAGTCATCTTATTGGAATCCACCAAAGAGCAGATCCACTTTTCACAGATTTACATAATACAATAAAAAATACGGAGGATATAACAATTAGGCAAGTATACACACAAATCTTGACTTTTATTCCATAATGCTGAGTTCTATTAACAATGATTGTGTCATTGTTAATCAAGGAAAATAAAGCGATACTTTTTATTTTCCTCAAATTCACTGTTGTACATCTTACATTTCTAAGAGATGATTATGACATTTTAGGGAAACTACTTTACATGCACTGAGAGGTATTATAACACCAGCTGGTGATAAAATGTCTGAACCTGTCAAAAAGCAAATACATACAACATTGGTAACATATTTAGGAGTACCAGAAGATTCTGTTAGAAGATGTGCTGCAGGTTGTTTGGGGGCTATGTGCAAATACCTCTCACCTGAGCAGTTGGATACCACATTAAATGAGTATATTTTGTGTAAGTAATAAGTAATATTTATTTTATGAAAGTTTAGGTGAAAACACCTTACCCTTGCCTCTCATGTGAACCTTCGACTTTGTAGGTACATGTGGCAGATATCCAACAAAAAAAAACAACTAACCCAGCTTTCTGCGCGTGTATCTGCTACACGTACCTATGAAGTCGTAGGTTCACGTTAGAGGCAAGGGTGAGCTGTTTCACCTAAACTTGAGCATGTCATATGCACCTCTCCGGAAGATACTTATTTATTATTCTGACTCCCATGTGTTTGTGAAGTTGTTTCCGGACTTAGTCTGCAGATGGCACAGTGGTACATCCTATTAAACCAACTGCAGATAGAGCTTATGACTAGTTGGAATTAATTTTGTTTGTTCGATGTTCGGTATATTTAGACGGTTCACTTCGTCTGAAATCCCTCTTCCGGTACTGATGAGGAGCTAGTACTCCGAAACCGTTGGTCGTTCCGACCAAAAGAAATAAATTTCTGCTTTTCATATACAGGAAGTTACTTGTGCCTAGAACAGCCTATTTCTAAACTTCACCAGAAGATGGCAAATGAAACTACCAAAATGTGATTATGAATATATGTTGTGACAAATTCTGTAACCAACCTAATTTCATGACCCATTGAACAGTGAGATTACCATATCTATGGTGTTCTCCAGGGTTCATTCCTTGATTCACTTATGTTCTTGACATGTACAATCCAAAACAATGTTCAATCATCTTCCAGTACATATTTGTTTCATAACTGTAGATATACATTTTAGAAGGGCTGTGAAACACTTAATGCCAAATAAAGTTTATTACATGCTACAAGAAAATTATTGCGTTTCTTGTAGAAAGTCGAATTGAACTATTTTAAGTTGTAATGATTACCACTCATTTATGAACCTATGATCTAAAATAATCTAGAAAACATATACTAAATGAAGTGAAAGTGATTATGATCTGAAATTAAATCTGTATTTGAGGTAGGAATTCCTAATGTACCAATCTTCATTAAAATAAAAGTAAAAAAAAATGATAAACCTATTATTATTCTTGAAAATGAGTGTACAAATGTATATAAATGTGTGTACAAATTTGAAAGTGCTTTGAAAGTTGAAGAAACAGAAAAATATTTCAATATTCAGTTGATTTTTGAAACTAAAAGTTGTTGAACCTTCAATGTTCTGAGGGAGTTCATTGAAATTATTCAGTCTGCCTTAAAACAATGATATCATGGTTTGGTTCTCGACATGTGGAATTCATTATTAGTCCTAGTATATTGTAACTTTGAATTTGCTTAATATAAGTAATAAAGAAATCGAAGTAATTTGGTAATGAATTCTTCCTGATTTTGGTGGATGAATGTTATTGACAAATGAAATAGTTTTTGAGTTGAACTATACCAATTCAGGGTAGTTAACATAATTGAGATGGTTATATCTTATTCATCTCCCGATAAAGCTAAGGGGCCATTCAAGTATTACGTAAGCATATTTATTACAATTATTTACCCCCCCTTGTCAGCAAAAGTAAGCAAAACTCTCACCTCCTTCCCATACTTACATAAATATTGTTATATGCTTTTTTTAATTTTTCAATCAATATAATTTTTGATACATTAGATGGGCAAAAAATTATAAAAGACAACTTAGAAATAGCACAAAGTTTTAATCACTACTTTATTGAAAGCATTCACAGTATAGTTCATAGTATAAATATTAATGAAGACTGGACCAACTTAAATAATAATATATACATGCCATTCGATAAATTTGAAGTACTCACAATGCCTCACTTACGAAAAATAATCCGCGGCATGAACAATAAATTTTCTATTCATGAAATATTGAACTGTAGGATGCTAAAGGAGATATTTGAAACTATAGGACATGCTATTCTAAATTTCGTTAATACATCGTTAACTACTGGTGAAATTCCACAAAGTTTGAAAATTAGCACTATTGTACCAATTCAAAAAGTTCCNTGCCAAAATAATCATTTGAAACATATGAATATTGAATTACATAAAAAATAATTTTTTCTATTCAGTTGGTACTTGAAACATTCATTATTGAAACAGATATTCACAAGGTCGCTATACAACATAATATATAAAAGTCCATTGAAATAAACTGTCAAGGTGTAATTCAAGTTTTAGATTGAAAACACTTGTCTTCAACTCCTCATTAACGTTTCTTTGAAAACGGAAAAACATGCATTTCCCAGGCAGGATTACGACATCTTTGTACAAAAAAAAGTGGCAAACTACAGAAAAAATCCATAGGACATGTAATTTATTTTATATGTTTGAAAGTAGTTGTTTTGAATGGACTTTTTTTAGTCGGTCTTCTTTATTGATGTATCTTTCTATACTTTTAGGTGATGATAGTTCCTTCAACAACACTTTACGAGAAGGCCTAAGTTCGGCGCTGTCAGTGGCTTTGAAAGAATCCCCTGAAAGTTTATGGGACGAACAGTACAGGAAAAAACTAATTCAAACACTTTTAAGTCAGCTATCATCCCAGTCCATTACTATAACGCAGACTGCAATCAGGTCTTGTGGTTATTTGTTAAAGTATCTGCTATTGAACGATGAAACCATTCCTCACACTTTGTTGGTTCCTTTTGTTAGGGTAAGTATAAGCAGTAACTATTTTAATTCAGTCTCTACATTTTAATAAAGTTGTATTTCATGCAAGGGAGATTAAAATTAAAAAGTTTCAAAAAGAGTAAACATCATAATTTTTTACACTTATGATGCACGATCATTATTTCTTAAACATTCACTCAGCTTGCATTTCAGTTCATTCCTATTCACTATAATTGAATTCGGATTAATATCCTAATGTTGTAGAGCTTGGAAGCTAACATAATGGGTGTAGTCTTACAGTTTCTTGTATTGTGATTGTGTATATGATTTTTTCAATTCGTTAATTTCTTTCTTTTGACATATGAAATAATCTATAGTACCCATAGTGAAGGAATTGTGAGAAATCTTCATCTATATAAAATTTAGGAATGCACTCCATATTACATGTATTTCGAAACGAAATTTCAAAACATTCACTTCTTTCAACATTCTTATACCTTAGAATCTGGTAAATGCCTGCCAGAAAACTACTTCCCTGGCTAATACCATGGATGGACATTGGTTTATATCTGACAGACCTTTATGCAAGTTTCTTCACTGAGGAAATGCTTCTTGTTCATTTAATTCAATATCCATCGTGGTATTAGCTGGTGAAGTAATTTTTCTCACATTTACTAGACTGTATGATCATCCTTTACAACTCCCAAAAAATGGATATGGAAAAAGTGAATGACTACAAGATGAGGTATATAGATACTTTGGAAGGTGAAATCAACCATCAACAAATAAAAGTCTATTGTAATAAATTGTAGAATATACACCGAAACCAAATATAATTTCAGCGCACATGAACTTCCTCCATTTATTGCGAGTTTGATTGAGAAAAAAAAAAGATGTGTCATGAGTATAGAGCAAACAGAGATCTAACGTCCGAAGTTTCAATTAATAAATTTAACAAGAACATTCAAAATTTGATCCAAGAATACAGAACCCACAATTGGATTCAAATATGTGAAGACATTCATGAAAAGAGCGGCAAAACCTATTGAAACGAAGGGAAGTTATCCAAATAACACAGAAAAATCAAATATCTTCAACACATACTTCACAAATATAGGGCATAACTTAGCAGAAAAGATTAGACAAAAAAATAGAAAAGATCCGCATAGAAATTTTATAACTTCGGATAGTGTCAGATAATGTAGTATATTAAGTCACTCGAAAACCAATGAGGAAACTTTGATTTTCTAAATCGCACAACGGGAATAAAATTGTGCATACCATAAAACAGCACCTTGTAAAAAATTATCAACTGCCATATCTATGTCAGTTATATTACCCCATAGTTCGTTCCAGTTTATTCCGGCCAAGTAATAATTTAGACCTATATAATCGCCCTTTTTTAAATTGTATCTAAAACTATTATTAGAGCTGGGATCATTTGATAATTCCACTTGAAAAAATAAAATCCAAAATACAGCCATAGCAGTTTTTAATTGTGTTTATTTGAGAGAAACTATGGTTTGTGCCATATTACTTATAGTTATATTTGTGGAAGTGATACACACCCCCAACTCATCATTATACCAATCCACGTTCGGCAAATTGTAGTCACCTGTTAGAATTATTTTATGATACGGAAAACGATTTCTAATGCCATCAATAGCTAAGCAATGATCTTCATAAGCTGTCAAATTAGCTCCAGGTGGAAAGTAGACACTACCAATTATTAATTTGTCTTTATCATAACAAATTTTCACAAAAACGGGTTCGATATTATTCTGTGTGATTAAAATAGGCTTACAAGAAAATAACTTTTTGATACCAATCAACACTCCTTCGCCTCTAGACTTACTACGGGTTATATGTGATCTGTCCTTCCTGAATATATTAAAATTTGACAAACCAAGCTCACTATCTTTCAAATCTTCATGTAACCAACTTTCAGTAAAAATAATATCATAATCATAGGTTGTTACATTACAAATTAAAGTTTTGATTTTAGTTCGAATACCGCGTACATTCTGATAGTAGATGTTCAGTTTCCCTTTAGGTGATGTGTTCCCTTAATTTATACGTGTTTTCTTTGCATTTCACTGACAATCCTTGGTATTCCACGCATATATTTAATTGTTAGGTTGATCTCTCCTTTTGCTGTTCTCTCACTCAGTTCCTTAAGTAATTCCCGAATCTGATTCCGTTGAAGAGGGGTTTGATCCGAGCTTAATTTTATTTCCGCGTAATTGATCTTGTACATTGTATATGAGTTACCTTTCGAAAAAAACCCACGTTTGCTAAAATTTACAAAAAAAATTACAAAGAAAGCGACAACTTGAACTTCGACCGCAATCATTCTGAAAATGTGAGCAAATGGTACAAAAACTTCTTTTAAGATATACCCACTTGAGAAAATAATATATTCAATGTATGAAGAAGAATATTTTGAAATCCTGTATCTAGAAAGTTGGATTGAAATTCACAAATATATCATAAAAAAAGCTATGAATTTTGCCGTAAAACGCATCAGGTACCTGCCAATTGAAAAATGGGCACAATAATTACAATTTCCAAACCAAACAAGGATCACATCCTCACAGACAGTTATTGTCCGATTACTCTCCTGCCTGTAATTGTTAAAAACTAACTGCTAAATGATAAAATTCCAAACTACCAGTTTGGATCTAGGCAATATCTACTATACATCCTCTGACGATTCTCACAAACAACATCGAAACATCCAAGCTGAACAATAATAAAACGGGAGTGATCTTTCTAGATATGAACAAAGCTTTCAATAGCATTTGACACAAGGGTCTTTTATCAAACTGCATCAATTGGGGTGTCCTAACTATCTAGTACTAGTACATACAATTAAGAATTTTCTAATTGACACAGGAAACTGAGAGTTAAAATACCGAATGGTTTTTCAGACGAATTTACTCCAAAGCAGAGAGTTCCACAGGATTCACCGCTCTCAACATTGTTATATAACTTATACTGCTCTGATATTTATTATCACCAACAAGGCAATCACTTCAGGCATGAAGCATATATTTTCCAGTATGCAGATGACACCTCTCTAATTGCCCTAGATCAAAAGCTAGACAAAATATTAACCATTTGGAATATCTTGCAACAATAACAAAACAGATAAAATCAGCAGAATTCTCCGTGAACACAACATATCAACATCATTCGTACCAGAACGGACAATAAGGTCCATGCTCCACTGGAGTCCCAAGAAGTTTACGAAGTACCATGTTAAGACTGTGACAAGACTTACATCAGCCAGACCAACAGGTGAATCAACATACGCAAAGATGAACACAAACTAGCAGTGAAGGGAAAAGTCACCAAGTTTTCTCTCTTTCAAGACGTATTGGTGACATGACACAACATCAATTTCGAGAACCCAAAAATACTAGCAAGCAATGAAAACTTCTACTCTCAAACAATCAGAGTGGCTATCTAAATTGAAAAAGGACCAAGTAATATGAACAAGGGGGAGGATGAATTTCATTAAATTGGACTTCCATTGTCTAATATGATATAAAATGAATAGCTGAAAATAACAATTATATTGATAAAAAACGTTAAATGAAATTACAATAAAATAAAAATACAAGCAACAATTGAAAGTTGAACAGTAAAAAATAAAATGAAAATTTTGGAATCGCAGTCCGCGTTTGTTGGCATGGTCTTCGTGAGGCTGCTACGGATAGCGTTTCTGAATCTAAAGCAGGTTCTGATGTAGGAAAGTGTAAGTACTGATTGTAACGGCTTCTCTTCCTTGCGAGGCTCTTGCTGTCTTTTAGCCAGTCTGTTTTACCATTACTTTGGGAGTAACCATCCCGTTGAAGATCATTTTTGATGATGCCTATCTTTCTCGAGACCTTCCTTTGTATAACAGAGCCTGAAAGCACGGTCTACTAGAGTCTTGATGATTCCTCTTTTAGTCGATTGATGGTGGTTGGATTCATGGTTCAGTTACTGTCCTGTGTGAGTGGGTTTTCGGTATACAGATATTTCCCACTTGGTGTCGATCCTCTTCACCAATACTTCTAAGAATGGCAATTCGTTGTATTCTTTCTTCTCCATTGTAAAAGTGGTGGAAGGTCTTATGTTGTTGATGTGCTTCAGGAAGGTGTCTAGTTCTGTATTCCAACAATATTCGAATATCTGCCAGTCGACATAAAGTCGTCAAATTCGTCTAAAAAGTTCTTCAGAAAAACCTCAAAAACATGTTTTGAACAGATAGACACTTTCATAGCCTACAGGAATACATTATTGCATCTTTTAGTGATTTTTAATGAGCTTCATTTATAATGTGTTATAGTATATTTATTTGTATTGCATGTTTCCTAGTAACTTATTGAATCACTTTGAAAATTAATGTTTCATTTTTTACTTGTATATTAAAATTTGGACCCTACTGATATTGTACGAGTTCCAAAAATCTTGCTGGTAAACAAAAAATGAAATTGAAACCTAGCTAAATAAAAGCTACCGCCAAACAGTTTCTGCTCTTGATGATTGATGCCAAATTTTCTTTTCTTGTATTATTGAAAATACAGTTCTAATAGTGGTCGTGCTTTGTCAACAAGTTACTCTTGAGACATTTAAGGTAACTTGACATTACCTGCTCTTTTCAAGTGAATCATATTTATTAACTTTTATAAACTCCGGACCTGTACAAAAAATATGTGTAGTGAATATAAAAAAGTTGTAATGTGAATCGTAAAATATTAAGAACTAATTAAATGAGCAGAATTGATAAATTAACCTGTATCTTGAATATGAAAATCTGAGGTACATTAAAAATAGGCCATTTAGAATAATCTATGTGTCCACTATCTATCCATAACGTAAATGCATTTCTCAGTGAAACACCCTGTATAATGAAACTTATGAAAATATGACTAACGGAGTAATATGTTATCTATGTGACTTCAAGCATTGCTGGAGTTTGAAAAAAATACTGTTATCAAAAAGGTTCCAGAGGGATCATTCTTGTACATTATTTACACCCATGATCTTACTTATATCACTTCTAAATACATAACTCAATATGTTCAATGGTTAGTTGCAAAAGCCATATACATATTTTACAGGATGATATTTTCCCAATATTCACAACACTGGACCAATATCTCACCTTCGATAATTGAAGCTCAATACAGAAAAATTCTAAATAATTTCATTTTCACAAACTGAAAGGAACACTTCTGGATTGTATACAGATGAGTCGATAACTGTAAAGGAGTTATCATTTCTGGCATCAGAATCGACTCTAGGTTGGGCTGGAAAAGTTGCATCGATGAATTTTATACGACCATTTTGAAATATTGTGATGCCTTCAGAATACTGTCTCGGAACATATCTGAGGAGGCAGCGTGGCTTGTTTGTAATGCATATATTCAAGGTCGTTAAAGGGCAAAAATCTTCACAAAAATGTTTCTGTAAAAAAATTGGGTCACAAAATCAGCTGCAAACAGTATTTTATTAGATAAAAATACTTATAATGCCCTATCTATTTTTATATGAAAGTATTATATTTGTATTTCTGAAGCTCCTTCACTACTTACCAAAGGACACATGGTCATAAAAGCAGAAGTAGAACAGATCTTTTGAATGTTCGACCCAAGATTTCATTTGCCGAAAGAAATATACCTTACAAAAAAATACACCTTGCGACCTTGAAAAAAAAATAAAAATCGTAATAATCCTCTTCATTTCACAAAAAAGTTGTCAATATTTATAAGAAAAATTGAAACGTGAATGAAAACTAAAATGTGAAAAGCAGTATTGGAAAAAATTAGCAGGTGTTGACATAGTCTTGTGAATGTACCTATTTTTCTTTTTTAATTTGAAGTTTATATGAATGTTGTTCACAAAATTCGCCAGCCCATTTCTCTTACACACCGATTCATATAATATCTTCATTGACTGACTTCCACAAAAGAACATGTACTGATCATTGAACATCCCAAAAGTTCTCGGTTGGACAAAAAGGCTAGAGTGTTTCTTGAAACTCTTGAGATTGTGCGATTTGGAAAATTATCACTGGAAACAGTCTATATTGTTGACACATTTTAGGTAGTTACTGCTTTTTCATACAAGTAACACTAGATTGTCGAAGAATTTTGTCTAAATCATTTATAGTACAAAGAACCAGGTATTGCTTCCATTCAAGTCGATTTTTTCATTATCATTCAACATTGCTCTAAGACAGGGAACTTTGCTCTCTCTTATCATTCACAAGATCACCAAGCAACAGAGATTCTAACTTGCATTTAATGAATATTTTTGTATTTTTAGATTTTACTGTTAACAACTATTAACGATGGAATGTTTTTTTCAGACAATGAACAACAATAGTAACGATGTAAAACAACTACTAGCTAGAGTTTCATTTCATTTGGCCAAAATAATTCCACCAGAGAAAATGTCGTCAGACCTTCTCAAATTACTTCTGCCTACATTGGTGAATGGCACTAAAGAAAAGAATATTTATGTCAAGGCCAATTCAGAAATTGCCTTAATTGCTATACTTCGACTCAAGGATGGAGATACAATGTATCAGGTGAGATTTTCTGAATGAATTTGAACATTTTTTTGAAATCCATAACGGGAAATTTTATTTATTTTTTTCTTTCAGAGATGTTTGGGGATTCTAGATCTTGGAGCAAGAGAAGCTTTATCTGATGTTGTGAGCAAAGTCCTGAAAAAAATATTATCCCAACCAGAAGGAAAAGAAGAAGAATTAGATGACACATTACTGACTTGATCATTACATTTAACCCTTACAGTGTTTCCAAAAGTCGCTAAGTGCGAAATTTTATTTTTTATTTTGGGTATTTATATTATCCATGTTGTTAAGAAGTTTGTAAGAAATAAAGTCATGACGTGTAATAGACATTTATTACCTTTTTATTATTTCAAATATGTGAAAGAGTGAGTTTCATGGTATAGTTATGCCTATATAACAAATTACCCTAATTGAAATTGATGTATAGAATTATTGTCCTGATAAGTATATATCACCGTTTCTGTTCCTACACTATCTGTCACACTGCCACTCGCACCTAAAAAAAAAAGATGATTCTAATTGAAACTTGAAAACTGTTCAACTCACCAAATGACTCTTCGGGAATTTCTTCAAACATGCCTTCACCGGCAAGATTTTTATCAGTTTTGGCTGCCTGTAAAAAGAAAGTCAAATAAAAATAATGATGATACAAATTTATAATTCAGTCAGTCAAGACCGAAAAACTATATTTCAACAAGATTATTCAATAGTCACGTAGCATGACTGAAATTATTAATTTCAAATGAGTATATGCCGATAGTTTGTCATGAACCACCTCTATAGCTCAACGGAATGCATCAACAAAACTTAATCAGTGATCAATCATAATTCAACGAAGTGTCAGAAATGAACATGAAACAAGTAGATGACTTATACTCATTCTGAGAAAAAGCGAATTTTTTAATTGTAATTCGTGAGCTTTTGTTGTATAAATTATGGAGCGGTTGTTAGTGAGAATTTTGTTCAGAACAAGTCGAAAGTAGACATTTATTCAACACCATTGAATATATTCAAAAAAGAGGTTTCCATGTTGCTGGTAACCTTTGCGTGTCATCCTCCTATTCATACTACTGAGTCGTTTTTCGATATTCTCTCTGATTGTTCGAGAGTAGAAGTTTTCATTGCTTGCCAATGGTTTTGTTTTCTCGAAATTGATGGTGTGTGTCCTGTCGCCAATATGTGTTGGAAAATGGAAGATGTGACTTTTCCCTTTACTGCGTGCGTGCATTGATTCGTCTGTTGGTCTGGCCGATGTAAGTAACGGTCTTGACATGGTACTTCATACACGTCTTGGGAATCCAGTGTTAGTCTGATCCTTCGGATTACGGAGCATGGACCTTATTGTTCGTTCTGGTACGAACGATGTTGCTAAGTTATATTGGCTGAGAATTCTGCTGATTTTTTCTATGGTTCCTTTGATGTGTAGTAGTATTATTGTTATGACCGGTGTTTCTTGGGTTTTCTTCTGTTTATATGTGATCTTGGAAGCCGTTTTTATAATTTTCTCTGAGAACTCATTAATTCGTAGCGTTGTCTCGATGGTGTTCAAACCCTGTTGCCTGTGTTCGTTGTCTGCCAGCCTCCTTGAACGTGTAATCAGTGTTTTTGCCACCGAGTGAATTTGTTTTGGGTGGTGGTGTGAATTTGCGTTCAGGTACCTATTAGTGTGTGTTGTCTTTGGATTTAATGTGTGGCCTAGTGTACCGTCGTCAGGCTCTTTTATGATCAACACATCGAGAAATGCGAGATGGTTATCTGTTTCAACTTCTTTCGTGAATGGATTCCATTTAGGTGATCTGGAAACCCTGGAAAGTTCGTGGTGTCCATGTGACCAAATGACGAAACTGTCTTCGACATATCTCAGCCAGAGTTTTGGTTTCAGGTCTGACGTTGCCACTGCTTATGTTTCAATTTCTTCCATATAGAGATTAATAGGAGATGTGGCGAGCCCATCGGTGTCCCCTCAATTTGAATATTACTGGAGTTTTTTCCCAATACCAAATCGTTATTATTTCACACCTCGACACGTGTTTCGATCACCAAGTGATCATCTTCAAGATGCTCGTAGATGAAATACGTATTTTTGATGCTCAGTAACCGGCAGTACATTTTACAACCTTGTTTGCATCCTGGTATATCCTTCATTCAC